AAACATCCCAGTTCTGGGAGTATTCACAAAACCCAGATTTCAATTTCTGCTAGTTTTGCAACTGCTTTCCAGGATGCGCATCAGCCACCATGATGGAGGAGCATCCAACTAGCTGGGGCATCGATGTTCAGTGTCTATGTATTGCTTCTGTGAGCTGGTGCTTCCAGGTAGGTGTTGCTTTCAGTGAGGATTTTGCTGGGCTGTGCTGCTGCACGTCGCTTGCATTCAGACTCGGACAGCGAAGTACATTCTGCCTTGCCCGCCGCCCTCCGCGAGCCAAGTGCTGAATTAGTCGAGGGTTGATAGAGTTTGTTTTTTGTTGTGGCGCGACACATGTAAAACCTGGCGTCGTGGGACACGTTCGCTTCAGCCATGTATAGAGACAGGAGAGCTGGCACCAAGAAGTTTGGCAAGGGCGTGAGACGCTGAGATGAGCAAGCCCTGCAGACGCACAGCAACACCGAATGCCAAATCATATTAAACCCAACCAAACCAAAACAACAAACAAGCCAAACCCACTGACAAATAGCCTAATGGCAAACAGCAGCAAATCAAGGGACCCTGCAAGACTGCACACCTTTCCTTTGCAAATTAGGTTTAATTCAGAGCCGGGCTCGCCGAGCGCTGCCCAAGATGCAGGCGAGGGGAGGGGAGACGGAGATCGATCTACACAAATTACAGAAATCGCAGGCCTGTTAAGTGATTAATTGATTCCATTTCTGTTGGTGGGTGTCCCTTTCTCAACTACAAATGGGTGCCCGTGTTCCCATCACTGAAGGTTGGGGTTACTTTATGTTTTGTGTTTTTTTTTTTTGGGGGGGGGAAAGGAGCTCACACACACGATGACGGTTCCTTAGTGGGAGATTCCTCAGTGCCAGTTTGCTGAATTGCAGTTCTGTGTGTGTCCCATTGACGTGCTTGAGCTTTCTTCGGGAGAGACATTGGAACCCATACCTAGCCCTCACCCTTAGATCAGAGCCACCCCTAAGAAGGTTCCAAGAACCTTTTTGAGAGGTCCTCCCTGGGTGGCTTTGACATGAATGCTGCATTTCTCTTGCAATGACATATGTTGGTTGGCGGTTTACCTGGGGCAGCATTGGTTGGTGATGCGTTTGTAGTGTAAGCACTCTTGCGCAATGCTTGTCTTGGTGTTTTAGTCCTCGCGCCATATTGAGGCTGGCTAGGATTTTTGCCAGTGGCTGGGCAATGCTTGGGGACAGTCGGGGTTGCATTTGGAGCGATCTGGCCTCATGCCATGGTCATATTGCATCATGGCAAGTCTGAAGGTCACTGGGTCTGGCTCGTATTTTTGGTACGGTCGGGTGCTTTTGGTTGAGCCATGAGACCCCATTGGCCATCAGACCGCGCAGTTAGGGCGCAGTGACCTGCAGGCCCAGCCCAAACCCCTTGACAGTTCAAAAATTGAAGAGTTGTGCCAACTCTGCTTGACAACAATCGTAGAATTGGAGGTAGAGCACTTAATGATGGCAGGATCAAGCAAGAGGAACATTCTACCTTTTTTTTATTGAGCCCTGGATGAAGGAAACCTCTATGGGTTTTGGGGGCTAATTAATTGTTTGTTAGGGCCCAGGATGCAGAGGTTGACTTCCCAAGTAGCCGCAGCCAGGCACAGGAAGCCCCATTTTCAGTTTTCAGGGGCTGAGTTGAATCATTTCTGTTCGCCTGCCATGAAGCAATTTCGTTTGCGGGTGAGAAAGGCAGCGTGCGACAATGAGTTTTTTTTTGATAGCTATGTGCCACGTGCCAAGATTTTGTGATGACCCCGATCCCTCAGAGTTTGGCACTTGCTTTCCTACGATGTTCAGAATGCCGGGTGTAACGGCCCTCGGAAGCTGGCAATTGTGCTTCTGGTTTCCATCGGAATGTCCTCTCAATAGATGGCTATCCATGGCTCTCCAATCTCGAAGCTCCTTCCTTTGCGCCTGAGCGTAAAGGCCATAATTTTCCCAAGGGGCCAAAAGGCAAAAACTCGACGTGTTGTCTGCATGTGGTCTGATCCCTGTCTCTGCCTCGGTCAGACGAAGCCGCCCTGCGCGCACCGCATCGCCAGCATCCTGCGGGCGCAGGAACAGGGCACTTTGTGCGGGACTCTAAAAACTAAGACGAGCCCGTCTCACCACAAAAGCAACGTCACGTGACCGGCCTCCAAGACCCCATGAGCCCTCGGGCCTCGACGAAGACTTTCATACCTGTCACAATCCTGTTGACAAGAAGGCAAATGGTGCTCCCAGACATGCGTCCAACGCCTTTAGAAGCTAGGAACTTCTCTGTATCCTGGGTGTCATGCTGGCTTCGTTGAAGATCTCGTAGGACTGGTTTTGAAGGCAGGTCAAAGAAGTGGGTAATGTGTACCCCGTATCAAAACCCTTGGTTGATTAATCAAGAAAAAAACAAGTCCCCCGAATCCTTCACTTGTGGGCGACACCCCCCTAGTAGGATGGGTTTGCTAGTCCGGGGTTCCCATTATGTTCTCCCAACCCTGAGCCCGGCCAAAATCCGAGGCGACCAGATCTTAAAACCACGCCGAGTCAGTTGCCCCGATGGTTTGTGTGGTTCGGCGTGTGTGGTATGTTTGTCATGCTTGGCGTGTGTTTGATGCGGCACTTGATGTCTCTTGTATGATGTTTGGTGTTTCGCTTCCTTATGAGTGTCTTTGCCTGCCTGCCACTACCAAGTGTGTGGATGCTTTATTTGGCAGGAACCAGGTCGTGCGACATCAACTTACAGTTGATGCAGCTTCAGGAGAGTTCAGTTGGTGCGTGAAGGTCAGCTTTCGCCTGCTCTTGCCCTGATCTCAGAAATGATCACTTGTTAGCAGGGTGTAAACAACCCTGGTTCCCTACAAACGGAAACCTTAAGGATGTTGTTTCAGCTTGAACGCGTGTGTGTGTGTGTGTGTGTTGTGGGTCATGTCGCAGCTACTCTGGCTATTTGTTGATGTTGATTAGTGCGCTGGGTCAATGTGTGTGTGAGATGCATGTAGTTGCCTCTCCGCCCGTGTATACAATTATTACTTTGCGGAAACTGCCATGTTGGTACGCTCCCAAGCCAGCACTCCAAACCACAAATTTTTAGCGTTATTTGACCTATTCTTCACGAGCCCGAATCATATGCATTCGCTGGAAGTGTCTTTCTTAGACGTGTATATATATATATATACATATATATATATATGTGTACGTATTCGAGTTCAAGACTGTGTATCCTGTATTTTACCTGAATGCTGACGGCTGAGTTCACTCTCCACCCCCCCAAGGGAGCCCAGAGACGATCTCATGGTCTGCAAATGGTGGCCATTCGCTTGCTCCGCTGACAACCTGGGAATGGAGCCCTTGACAATCGGCTTCTAGGTGCATTTTGCTGACCCTTTTTGGCGACCTCTCCCTCCATGTTTGTCAATACGCAGGTGCAGTGTCTCGGAGTTCTTCTTTCCACTACTGACATGGACCACACTCACCGAAATTCCATCAGGAAACGCGGTTTACTCACCAAAATCCAATGTTGCTTGGGGAATAATAATAAAGAAAACAGCGCTTCATTGTTTGACTACCCCAACGTAGACTTAAGCCCAGGTGTGGTTGCTTTCCCCACAAGGAAACCCCCGCAACCCCCTTGGTTTGAGCCTAGTGCCGGTAGTCACAGAATGGGACCGCGGAAATCCATCTTCAGGAGTCGTGGCCAGAGCCTGCAAGCTCCATGGCCGCTGTGGCAAAAAACAGAGACGGGGGCTCCGTGATACCAAGAAAATCCTCTTCAAAGTGATAACATTGTCTTGGAGTCATAAGTGTTTCGTTGGTGAGGTGTTTTCGACCGTCAGTCACTTTGGTAAAGGTCCCAGAACTAGCCACTTTGGCAAAGGTTCTTTTCGCCCGCGGTTGTGGCGGAGTGCCGTGGAAGCGTTTGTGCCAAATTGGGGACACTAGCGTGACATGAAGCCAGAGCAGAATACCCCTCGGATAATCCCTGAATATGGCCTTAGGGAATAATCATTAATCAGGCCTTAGACTCCCCATAAGTTTCCCTGATGAATTAAAACGGAGAGGTCCAACCCTCCGAAATGGGGAAGGAGGGTGCTGGTCACTGTGGTTCCCAACATTTCAAAGAGCCTGAGAAAAGACCCCGAACGTTCCCGACTTGCGTTGGACATAAGCCATATGTTGGAGTTTTCCCCTCAGACTTGGGAAGCACAAAGCTCTATTTGGGGAGGAAATGGTTGCCAAATTTACTCATCGTCTTTGGGCGAGCCACCCTAGGCGTTAGTAGACCTTCAACCGCGGCATTCACACTGGAACCGGTCAGCCAACTGTGGTGTCAACCAAGATAGTCATGGACACGAGGAGTCATTCTCCAACAAAGATACATAGGGGCATCCTCGAAACCCACATGACGTAGGTGCAGCAGCAGGGTGGTCGGAAGGCAGCTTCAACCACCCAATCACCTACTAGGCAAAACGCCGCATTGGAGCAACATTTGAAATGGGGTCTCCTGGGTCCTGGTCTTTAAGGGTTAAGTACAAGGAACGCAAGCAACTGCCGATATTGGGCGTTTCCTGTTTGAGAACGCATCCAAATAGAACGACTAATTCCTTAGTTGGTTGTCTATCCAACGAAAAGTTCTACCCCCCCTCCAAATTCCCACTGTGCTGACAAGGGGCAGAAACGACTTGACGTGATTGGCCAACTTGGTTTGGCTGGCCAAATGTGGTCTGCCCAGATGTATTGTCAGGTTGTCCTGGCAGTTGTGGTCAAATTGTTGCAAGCTGGGTCTATGTTGGGCTCCAATATGGCCATGACAAAAGATCAAGAGGGCTCGGCAAGCGACAGAATAGGGGTCCTTTAGAATGGCTTCGGGCTTCCTCAGTTTTGCTTCAGACCAGCCCCAGTCCACGTCGCGTGACTTATGATTCCTCGAAAGCTGTGCTTCGATGGAGATGCCGGGCCACAGGCGAAGGCTCTTGGATCATCGGCCTGAGGGCCTTGATGGCAGTTCCTCAAGAGGTGGAACGTCAGCTTTGATGCCAGCTGGCGGCTAGGACGCGCAGAAGCTTTGCGGTGTAGCAGTTCGAGGAGCTCGACACCGAAGAGCTGTGGCGCCTGCTTGCTGGTATGGGCATGTCTTCCAGTCAGTGTATCAGGGCTAAAAGCTGAGCCCGAAGCCCTAAAATCGACCCTGAGGCAAAACAATGTCACTCTGAGGGTTCCTGTATTTCACACAAATTTGAGAGTAATGGTTACCCTGATTGGCAAAGCCCCCCCCAAAGGGTCCGCCTCCTTCAAGGAGCCCCTTCGGTCCTGGTCCTTTTGCTTTGGGACCTCCAAGCTGAGTGTCGTCCTGTTGGCCTCCCTTTAAGCCAACCCCACGAACTTATGCCTATGGTCATGACTGGAGGTTTTTTATGTACCGATTCCAAAGACTTTGGGCCCCAAACGAACCCCCGGACGCCCATGCGCGGACTTGGCTCACCCGAGGACTTGGCTCACAGCCTGGCGGCGCAGCAGCGGCAGCTGGTGGAGCAGAAGCTCCGGGCGTGGCTCGGAAGCGACGCCGGAGGGTTGGCTGGGGGTTGGGGGGAGGGTATCGGGTTTTTCAAGGGCATATTTCGATTTAGGGGTTTTGGTGTGTTTTGGTGTTTTTGATTGGTTTAGGGGTTTTGGGAGTCTTGGGCGTGTTTGGCGGGTTTGCTGGGGCTTTGAGGGGTTCAGAAGTTTGGAAGGTCTACAGCCTTGGACGGAGGAACACTTCTTCACTCAAGTGCTTGGGCGCCAGAGCAAATTGTTGGATGTTCGCAGCTAAACAATCAACTCTCTTCGGCTTAAAAGAAACTGTCTAACTTGTCGGCGGCCGCCGTTGCACGTCCTCAGCGCCGCTTGAATCGCATCCCTGCTTCGCCGGTCTGGGCGAGCACCGCGTTGGTGTTTGAGCCGCTGCGTGCCAATGCCCATTCTGCAATGGCAGTCTTTGTTTTTGAGGGTCACCCTTTTTGTGAGTTGGTCTTACAGGAAAACCAAACAAAAACAGGCAGCAAAGCTCTACGGGCTTTGAGCGTGTCTCAATGGGAGATTGATGCTACTTTGTGAAAATGGCAGCCCGAACCAGGAAGCTGTCGGCCTCTTCAAAGTCTGTGGGTTCCATGGCTGGAGATTGGAGCGATTTCATAGGCAGGCATGAAGAACATGGTAGAGGTTCTTCTCGCCTTGGACCCCAGGCGCTGAGTACTGTATGATTGACGGTTACTTCCAAACAACAAATGCAGCAGGAGCGATCGTTTCAAGCGAGCCTGTCGGTTGTCCCCCTCAGTGTGTTGACGGGAATTGAGCAGCACCCAAACCCTTTTTGGGCATGCTAGTGTTCTACCTAGTTTCATGTGGACATAGTAAGGACTATACGCGTGTGTAGCACCACTTTTCAATTCAGAGACAAACTCATATAAACCAGTACCATGACCAATGTTGTAGATCCTCAAGCAGCTGTTGTAGGTGCTGCTCAGTTGTCGCAGAGTTCTTTCGTGCCTCAGGTACCCTTCGGAACCCCTGAATCGCCTCATGATTCCTCCGGCGGGACGGCACAGCTGGCGATGGTGGCACGACAAGTATCACCCAACCCCTATTTTCACTGTTGTTGGCAGGTTGCTTAATCTTTGTTATGTTGAGAGGATTTGTTTTGAGAGGTGGGCTGCACAGAACAAACTATTGATGCCTTTGGCTGACATACCGGGGTTTAGAAAGATATCCAGTTGATTGACAGTTGCAAACAGTTTGGATGGTATTGTTTGTATAGTCGTGGATCAACAGTCCAGTCCCGAGGGACACGTGGTGCAACTCCATGTTCCCAAAATTTCCAAGCTTGATCCATGGCTTTTAGTTTGGTTGTGCGCGAATGGGCCTAGCTAAGATGGCTCCCACCATCCCACAACAACTGGCTCCTACATGCGGGAGGTGAATAACTGTATCGTCAACTTCGAACATGTTTTATGACCCCCTCATTCTCGTTGGGAGGTTCCTAGGGTAATGGACACCATTTGCTAGCATGTTCGTGGCTGATTCTTTTTACCAAAATGGAGAGCGCCATTTATTTGGCAAGCACGGCACTGTTGTGCCGGATGGAAGTATGGGGGAAACCTGTGTTCTAGGGCTACTTTCTGCTTGAAGGGAGTCAACGCCCAGATTTAGACAGACACAGAAACCCTGGGGTCTCTGATGCCGAGGTGTCCTATCCCTACGAGTGACAGGCAATGTTCCTTCGGGGATTTTTTAGGTATGGTACTCCCTTTCGAAGCCCGGCAAAAGAGCCTTGCCAGCGAGGCGGATTTGCACCTGAGAATTGACCTCGGATACAGATTAAGGCAATGGAAGCCTTGCTAACCCTTCCCCATGACTCTGGGCAACTTGTATCAACATCACGTTCCGGGGGGTTTGCGACGTCACCCATGGTTCATAGGGATCCCTGATTGCTCGGTTGTCGAATTATCAGGTTATTGATTTGCTTTGTTGGGGGGATGGGTGTGCATCACGAAATGTATGGATGGTACCCATAGCTGGATCACCTCCGAACATGAAAGTAAAGGGAGCACCACCACGCCGGAATCGACCGCCTTTCCCCGCAGCTCTTTCTCGCTGCAACCGAGTGGCCGCGCTCGCGCCAACTCTTACGAGCCACCATGAGGTTCGAAAAGATATCCAGAACGCGCCTTGTGTTGTTCGTTGTTTGGTTCTTGGGGATCCCTTGTTTCAGCTGCTGGGGAATTGTTGAACAGATAATGCAAGTTTACTACGTGTATAGATAGTATACGTATACACTACAGAGTGCTCAGGGCCTTACTATCAAGGTTTCTTAAAACAGCAGTTCAGCTAGGAGGGATCAATGGCGCAGCAGCGAGTCTACACGGCAAGCTTAGGCAATGGGCATCAACATGCAGGGAGTGAATTATGAACTCGTGCATCAGCCCGGCAGCAGCTGGCTCTTGTGGGGCCCATCCACTCCAAGTGGTTCAATGTGGTTTGGTCTATTCTGCTGACACGCCAGCAACCAATTCAACTGCACAAACCGTCTATTAGGCGCAAACAAGCCGCACAAATCATGTTTGCCAGATCCAGCAGCACAAAACTCTTCGGAACTTTCAGCGGCCTAAAACCGCCCTCTCCCTCGGTAGGGGGATGCTTAGAACCGCTTCGGTGCTGGGCCACAAGCACCGCGTCAGCGCCATGAGCATGCTACGCCTCGGCACCAGCACCTTTGATCCCGCCGGGAGCCCAACTTTTTTCAACCTCCAGTGGGTGCTCACCTGTTTTTCATTTTTTTTTGGGAGTGGTCCCCTTTCAACTCGTCTCACTTCCTGAGTTGTTGGACTTTGCACTCTTTTTGGCAAGACCATGTTAGTTGTAAATAAAAGGCTTGTTGTTTTTTGCCAGTCCACTCAGGAAGTGAGTCGACTACTGCAAAAATGTGCCCTTGGGATTTCTACCTTGGTATCTCAGAAACGTTAGGCCAATGGCCAGAAAGATCAGAGGTTCGTCTCACTGCCCGAAATAGAAGGCTCCCCTTTGGTGTCCCTTCAAACGGATCCGACAGGAGTAAGAACGGGCTGAATAATTGCACATATGTTTTAGCTTAGCTTATGCTCCTGACTTAACTATTGAGGCCCTTGTAGTACTCTCACAAAGTGACAATTCGCTTAGGTGTGTTCCTTGTACAGGTTTATGGGGGCAAGCCCAAGCATTTTGCGAGACGGCGTGTACCTTTCCGTATTTAATGAGTATAGCGTGCATAGCATTTGTTTACAGGTCTCATTTGGAACCTGTTCCAGGACACTTTTTTTCTGTGCGAACAACGCCTTTTGTCACGCACCAGGCTACACAGGGTAAGATGTGTGCTTTTCATTGGGAGGGGAAGGGAGAGGGAGTGGACGGGAAGGGGAAGGGAGGGGACGGTACATGCTAGGAAACAATAAACATATCAGAAGACCTATATGGCTCCAGTTGGGATTTTTTTTGGTGACATATTCTACACCCCTTTAATGTCCACCTCTGATTAATAACCCCCCCTCCCCCAAACAACTGAGGTCCCTCAAACAAAGTTGGAAAAGTCTACGAGTCTACCAATACTAAACCAGTTATTAGGAATTGCATTTTTTGCGGGAGTCTTTTCAATTGACTTTAGTATTGCAACTGCAAAATTTCGAGTTGGAGAGTCTTTGCAGTTGATTTTAGTATTACAAATTCAATTTTGGAATTGGCTTGGCTGCTTTGGCTGCTTCGGCTGCTTTGAAAAGGGTGGGATGGGGAGCTAGTGCTTTCGGAAGGGGGCTGGCCAAAAAACTTGCTCTCAAATGAAGTTCTTGCATGAGGTTCAGGGCTCCCGTGTGGTACCCTTTTGTGGGATTGTTTTTTGTTTTTATCTTTGTTTTTCAACAAAGATGTTAAACAAAAACATGAGGTCTGGGAGCTCCTGTAGTTTTGTATTTTTGAGCAGAACCCAAAAAAAGAACTTGCTTTGGCAATAACGATGAGGGGATTCTTTTTGAAGAGGCTGGGATGGGGAGCTGGTGCTTTTGGAAGGGGTCTGGCAAAAAACTTTAATTAGGACCCATTGATTTATCAGTCCGGGGCCCCCAACACCCTTGTTTGGGGAACATTATTTATCGTAGGTGGACATTCCGGGGTGTCGTTTGCCAATCCAAAGGAGCCGTTCGGTTGTGGTGAACGGGTCCCCAATTTGGCTCCCCATCCTGCGTTTCATCACATGGCTCGTACCCCACTTTCCTCACCATGCACCCATTGAAATAGTCGCAAATTCAGGTTGTCTATTGGGAGAACCAGGGAGGTTAGTGAGCGGGGTTGGGGATTGCAAGCGTGGCCAAGGTAACCCCCAGCCACCGCTTGCTGGGGGAGGACATGCAGAACGCCTGCGATGGTGTGGACTGCCAGTGCAGCTTAGGCATCAATGTGTGAGTGCGTGCGTTTTGCGTGTGCGAGCGTGTGGATGCGTGCATGCACGCATGCATGCAGGCGGGCGGGCGGGCGTGCGCGCGGGCGTGCATGCGTGCGCGTGTGCGGGCGTGCGGGCGCGCTTGCTTGCTTTTCTTGCTGGCATGTGGCGTGTGGCGTGTGGCGTGTGGCGTGTGGCGTGTGGCGTGTGGCGTGTGGCGTGTGGCGTGTGGCGTGTGGCGTGTGGCGTGTGGCGTGTGTGTGTGTGTGGGTGCGTGGGTGTGTTTTTCTTGTTGCGCCCGTGTCTTGTGTGTTTGTCTTGTTCATTCTGCGTGTGTGGTTGTGTGTATTTTTGTCTCTGTGCGTGTGTTGTCTTGTCAGTGTTTGTGATTGTTTGTGTGTGTGTGCGCGTTGTGTTGTTGTTTTGTGTGCGTGTGTGGTTTTGTTTGCTTGTGTGTGTGTGTGTGCGTGTGTGTTTGTTTGGTTGTTTGTTTGTTTGTTTGTTTGTTTGTTTGTTTGTGTGTGTTGTGTTTTGTGTGTTTTTTTGTGTCTGTGTCTGTGGCTGTGTCCGTGTCCGTGTTTGTGTTTGTGTGTGTGTTTGTGTGTGTGTGTGTGTGCGTATTTGTGTGTGTGTGTGTGTTTGTGTGTGTTTGTGTGTGTTTGTGTGTGTTTGTGCGTTTTGCGTGTTGTGTGTGTGTGTGGTTTTGTGCTTTTGTTGATTTCTGTTGATTTTTTGTTGTTGTTGTGGTGGTTGTGGTTGTTGTTGTTGTTGTTGTTGATGATGTTGTTGATGTTGTTGTTGTTGTTGTTGTTGCTGCTGCTGCTGTTGTTGTTGTTGTTGTTGTTGTTTGTTTGTTTGTTTGTTTGTTTGTTTGTTTGTTTGTTTGTTTGTTTGTTTGTTTGTTTGTTTGTTTGTTGCTGTTGTTGTTGGTGGTGTTGTTGTTGTTGCTGTTGCTGTTGCTGTTGCTGTTGCTGTTGCTGTTGCTGTTGCTGTTGCTGTTGCTGTTGCTGTTGCTGTTGCTGTTGCTGTTGCTGTTGTTGTTGTTGTTGTTGTTGTTGTTGTTGTTGTTGTTGTTGTTGTTGTTGTTGTTGTTGTTGTTGTTGTTGTTGTTGTTGTTGTTGTTGTTGTTGTTGTTGTTGTGTCTGTGTTTTTTGTGTGTGTTTGTGGTGTGTGTGTGTGCGTGTGCTGTGTTGTGCTGTGCTGTGCTGTGTTGTGTTGTGTTGTGTTGTGTGTGTGTGTGTGTTGTGTTGTGTGTGTTGTTTGTTTGTGTTGTTTGTTGGTTGGTTGGTTTGTTTGTTTGTTTGTGTGTGTTTTGTTGTTTGTGTTTGTGTTTTGTTGTGCGTTTGTTTTGTGTGTGTGTGTTGTTGTTTATGTGTGTTTGTGGTGGTGTGTGTTTGTGTGTGGGTGTTGTTTCTGGTGTTTTTTTGTTTGTGTGTGGTTTGTATGTTTTGTATGTTTTGTATGTTTTGTTTGTTCTGTATGTTTTGTATGTTTTGTATGTTTTGTATGTGTGTGTGTGTGTGTCTCTGTGTGTGCGTGCGTGCGCGTGCGCGGGCGCGTGCGCGTGCGCGTGCGCGTGCGCGTGCGCGTGTGCGTGTGCGTGTGCGTGTGCGTGTGCGTGTGCGTGTGCGTGCGTGCGTGCGTGCGTGCGTGCGTGCGTGCGTGGGTGTGTGTGTGTGTGTGTGTGTGTGTGTGTGTGTGTGTGTGTGTTTGTGTTTGTGTGTGTGTTTGTGTGGTTTTGTGTGTGTGTGTGTGTGTTGTTGTGTGTTTTTGAGTGTTTTTGAGTGTGTTTGAGTGTTGTTGAGTGCTTTTGACTGTTTGTGTGTGTGTGTGTTGGTGTTTGTGTGTGTTTAGTAGTGTCTGTGTTTTGTGTTTGTGTGAGTTTGTTTGTGTGTGTGTTTAATGTTTGTCCGTGTGGCTGTGTTAATGTCTATGTTTGTGTATGCGTGCATGTGTTTGTGTTTGTGTCTGTGTTATTGTTTGTGTGTGTGTGTGCCTGCGTACGCGTGTTCGTTTGTTGTTTTGGGCAGGTCAACCCTTTCTGAAAGCGCCATTCTTGTGGGCTTAGTTTCTTTTAGCCAAGACTATGGCCAGCTTTTAATGGGTTTTGTAGGAGACTCTTCCAGAACAAGGGTTGGTTTGCGGTTTGCAGGTGAAAATAGCAGGGGATTCTTTTGCTGTGGCAACCTAAGCCCCCCCGGCACATGGGGAGGATCACCCAACCTGCAAAAACCTAACGCGTGGGAACAAGTCATTCTGGGCGGTGCTCATATGTGAGGCTCCCGTCGCCGTTGTCACTCAGTGGTTGCCTTGGTTGTGCAATTTCTTGACATTGCGTGTTTCCCGTTTGCTGTTTCCTCACAAAAGCACCTGAGACTGGGGACCCAGGTATGGAGATGAGACATTTGTGGCATCAGTACCACCAGCCGGATCAAACGGTGGACAGGCGGGCGGAGCTTTTGAGTTTCGTCGGTACTTCGGTTTGGGTGGGAGTGTCTTGCAGCATTTGGAACATTGGCTGGTCAATATTGTGTGAAATGTCACACCCTTTCTTAAAGACCCTACAAGCCAAGGTCCTGCAAAGCAAGTCCATGACTCAAATAATAATTGGCGCGAAGCGTTGGGATCTCTAGACTTTAGACCCGTAGTGGCAGGCCCCTCGAATTCGTGGCTGGTTGCGCGGCTTGTTGCGAAACCGGACCCCTCGACCCCTACCTCTTCAATCGCAAAGATTCCTTTTGAACCCTTGCTGGAGGTGTGCCTTTGGTTTCCTTACCATTTTCTAGAGTACTTCTCACAACGTGTGAAGGGGTGCGTTAAAGTGTGACTCGCCATGATTTTAGTCAGATTCTCTCTTGGTGGTTTAGATTGATGGTTTGGAGGTCAGGGGTGGTTTCCCATTTGCAAGAACCAGAGGTTCATGGAGCCAAACCCGCCAACCAAGGGTATAGCTGATTTAGGGCATCAAACTTTCAGCACCGTGCTATGTTTTGGACCGCAGCTTCGCGTCGTGAACTCGCTCGAGTGCTGACATGGATCCGCTGTTTCCATTGGCTGCGAAAGGGGATCATCCTTATGCACCAGGTGTTATGTGAGCAAACTTTCTGGCGGGGGCGGGGGGCATTCCTAAACGAGACAAATTCTCAATCAACAACTTGGTGTTTTAATGATCCGTATCGGGAAAGAGGGTTTGATCAGGAGTTCTCATTCATCCAGGATGTATGTGCCTTTTGGGTGTGAGTCAAGACCAGGTACCCAAAATGGAACTTTAATTTTGACCCTATGTGTATACATATACATATATATTAATATACGTATGTATTGAACAGAAGAAAAGACAGAAACACATGTCTAGTTTTCGCCGACATGTGGTGGGTTTAACATGCCAAAATTATGGGTATCCTACCATAGATTCGGGACATGGCTAAGCAAGAACATGCGGAACACCCTAAGAAATGGTTGATGAGCTTAAAATCCTTGTTCAAGTGATTTTCATCAAAGGGTCCCGAGAGACCCATACATGAAACATGTGCTGTAGGCGTTCCCAAATCAGGGGTTGACAAATCTGACGTTCCCACCAAAAGGCGCACATTTGCTGTTTGAACTCAAACAACCTCCTTCTCATTCCAGGTGGAAAGGCATCCTCACTCAAGTTGTTTTCTTTGCTCTTACCAACAATCATGGAACGGGGTTCCGGATGCTTCCCCAAACGGAAAGCGTTCGTCTTCCAAAACCCTCCCGTCAGCTTGTGAAGCCCGGCAGAGCCGGGCGGAGGAAGTTGCTATAGTTTGGAGCACGCTGCTTTTCCCCTTCTGTCTCTCGCTCTCTAGCTCTGTCTCTCTTTCTTTATCTTCTGATTTTCCCTTCTCCTTCTTTTTCTCGCTCTCTGTTGTTTTTCCCATTCTCTTTTTCTTGTCTATTCCTGTGTTTCTTGTCTCTTCCTCCTTCTCTTTCTCTTCTTATCTATCCTTCTCCTTATCTTTCTCTTTCACTTCTTCTTTCTCCTTCTCAGTCTTCTTCTCTTGCTCTTCCAATTTCTCCTTCTGTTTCTCTTCTCTTTCTTCTCCTTCTCTTCTTTATCTTCTTTATCTTTCGCTCTCCTTCTCCGTCTTCTTCTCTTTCTCTCTCCATCTGTTTCTCTTTCTCTTTCTTTTCTTTCTCTTCTTTATCTTCCTCTTATTTCTCTTGCTCTCCTTCTCTTGCGGAGGATACCTTTTTTTTTGGCGTGGCGGAAGCCAAAAGGAAAGTAAGTCTTCTTCCACTTTAAGACATTCTAAGTTGAAGACATATATGGGGCCTCACTCATGCGGCGTCAAACGAAACCCACAGCCCCATTTGAAGTCTTGTGGCCCTTACAGTGCCCAGGGGTGTTTTGAGGCTACCTTTGGGATGTGGTTTCTCTTTTTCTTTTCCATGAGCCATTTTGGGGGTCCAAAAAACACAAATTGATTCGCGCCAGGGCCTGGACCGAGGAGCCCAAGTTCGAGACCACCTTCGACCGGGTCTTCTGCCACGCGCGCACCAGCAATTCGCCCGCCTGAGCTTCGTGAGACGCGGTGAGTAACGGATTTGTTCGGGGTGGTGGGACTTGTTTGTTCAAGTCCCTCAGGGGCCTATGTGTCACTACCTCATCTGGAAATTTCGACTGAACCTCCGAATGATTGGACCCGAAGTGGTGGGCATCCTCCCTCCAGTCGGGTGCCTTCCTTTTGGTAACTTTTTGGGAGGGGTGGGCCTCTTTAAAACACCTACAAGAAAGAGTGAACTTTTTTCCCACCACTGGAGGTTTGGTTGGAGGGATTTATGTTCAACCAAGCGGGGAAGCGGGAGGCTCCGGGTAGGCGCTTGCTTGACCTCAAGTGGGGAGGGCGCAAGCGCCCAAAGTTCGGTCAGAATGACCTATCTATGGTTCGTTGTTGGGAGGGACAAGAAAGGAACTCACTATGATGAATGCCCCTCCCAAAGATGGGCGTCACTAGTTGTTCCATGTTTGTGTCCCATGTTTGAAGTACTTTTGCGACGAAAAGCAGGGGGCACACAAATTACTACGGTATTTGACCGCTTTCACGGTTGCGGAATGCTGTAGCCCAAAGGAGGTGCAAACATGAACATCTTGTTTTGGCTCGCCATCTTCCGCATATTGAGCTTCAAATGAATTGGAACAAATTAACCACGGCAGCCGCATCCCACTGACCGCATTTCATATTCACAAAACGGTTTGAGTGGCCATGCGGTTTGTTTGATTTCCTCCCCAAGTTCTCCCTGGTGTTTTACTTGGTTCTATGTTGGCATTTGTTTAAACGCTCACTCATATGTGACAACTGTGGATATCCTTGGGCCTTCCATTGCTGAACTTTGTGAGCGCATGGACGTTAGACGACCCATGGTGAAAGCGAAAGAACAACCAGCCTCCAAAACCCGCAGGTTTCTTGGAGGCAGCAGTGAGCCTTTGACTTTCGGTGCTTTTGGATGAAGTGAGTGGCAAGAAAGAATCCTAATGCGGCCCATGCCTTTGTTGCATGCACCGCAAGCTGCGACTTGTTGAGGCATCATACAGGTCGAGCCGAAGACGGGGATGTTCCAGGCGCCTGCTCTTTGAGTGGGGAAAGCGGAGAACACACGTTGAGAGGTGGAAAAGTGGGGCTCCAAAGCGAGTACTAGCAGACTTGCCAAAGTTCTTCAGGCGCCGTATGTTTCTTCCCTGAGGGGTCTTTTGAGCAATCCTGTAACATGCCTTTGATAATCATCAGTTCAGCATCCTAAAAGTTACTTAGATTGTTAGACCCAATCCAAGGGGTCCAAGCAAGAGCACATACGAAGTGGCCTGCTGGATCTTGATTTGAGGGTCCGGATCACTGCAAGCGCGTGGATTGTCTGGATCTGTTCTGGCAACCCAGAAGGCGGAACCTTTAGGCAACAGCCTAAGCTTTTGTTGTGCAACTGGCGGTGTCGTTCTTTTGAGGGTACCCTTTTTGGAGGGTTTCAAAGGGAAAGCAAAAGGGAACCATGCACCAGCTTTGGAGGTTCCCCCTATTAGCCAAATCCATTTCTGCATTGCCTACAGAGGAATGGTTCATGGTGGAGTGAAGGCCGGGTTGGGCGGGAGTGTCTTTTATCAATCGATCCATCGCATCCTGGTGTTGCCACAGCAGAAAACTCAGTCAGACCAAACTGTTTAAGCCCAGGTTGTAGATGTGTGCGGGGGCATTTGTGAGCATGTTGCGGCGCCGTCCCAGAGGCAACACGTAAATCAAGCAAGTAGATGAATTTCACTGAAGAACTGAGTTTTGTGATAGTTCACCCCAACTCATGGCTGATTTACTCAATTTAGGTTCTACAGTCCCAGCAAGGCTGGCACCCAAACTGCGTCCTCTTAAAGTGGACCAACAGCTGTTTGCGCTTGGCTGACAATCGCCAGCAGGTGAGTGACTGCCGGCTGAGTCTTTTTCTTCGATCCATGGAATCATCATTGACCTTTGCTCACAGGGCATGAAGTTCAAACCACGGCTCGAGTGTTTACATCCTTTTCAGACTGCGAGCCTGGGCAATGCAGGGCTGTAGACACAGGAAGCTGCCCCCTCGGCCACAAGCTCCGAGCCAAATGACCAAGTGGGTGTGTTTTTGTTGGGGGACCCCCAAATCCAGGTTTTTCTTTGGGGGTTCCCCTGAAATAGCTAACTAACAGGGGGTACCCTCAAAAAGACGGACCCGAGGGGAAGTAGTCCAAAGCTTCGGGAAGGGGAAAGCGGTGTAGACCCCTTAAAAATGCCAGGTTTGACTGGGACTGAGGTGAGAATAAAGCACCAAGTCACCTGCGGAATCATCCTCTCAAGCAGCAAAGGGGCACGCCACCGACACCAACACATTCTCCGTAGCAACCCCTACGGTCAAACCAACACACCAATCCAAACCACCATCCAGATCCAAATCATTTGTGTTACCGGAGTTTACATTCGCCCAATTTGGGGCGGAAACCCGTTTTCCGTGCCAGCTGTGACTTCTGATATGGCTTGCAGCAAGTTTAAGGGGAGCCCCAGGAACGGGAATCAGCGCCCCGAAAATGACATCGGTTTTCCCTTAAGAAGGGTTTCCTTTTTTTCCCAGCAGCTCGCTCCAAAAAGGGCCTCCAAAAAAGACCAACCCCAATCTGTGGGTTGGTGGTTGGATGTTTGGATCTGAGGTGCGTATGGTGTGCAAGTGGAAGTTCCGGACCGCGTCCCCGAAGAACGACACGGAGATCAGCTACCGGGGAGTGCCCGGCATCCGCGTGCCAGGCGCGGTGAGGCGAGCACCCCACACGGCCTTCCCGTTTAACGGCCGTGGGTTGTTGCAAATTCGTGTGGCTCGATTTGTTTTTTCCTTTCGGGGGGGGGGGGGTGAACGAAAGGTATCCTCAAAACAGGTCGGTTAAAATGGAAACCAAAAGGACAAGCATTTCAGGTCTCTATTTTTGACACATACTCCAATGTTCTTTGAACAGCCAGAGCCTGGGCGCCTAATGGAGATGTGTTTTTTTAGTCGGTAGAGATGAACGCGTGTTTAAGCAAGGGTGTGGACTAACATGGCAGGATTTGAGTACAGCCGCATAGACCTGTATAGCCAGGTAGAGCGAAAGCCGATTGGTTTGCGGGTTCTACTTCCCTGAACGTTCACATGGAACCGAAAGAAGGGGTCCGAAGGAGATGGTTGGGTTCCGCTTTCTCTTCGCACGGACTAAATTGGAAGAATGGTTGGCCCCTCAAATGTAGGGTATGTTGCTTGCACCGGCTCCATAGGGATTACACTGAGACGTAGAAGCTTGTGTGTCCATGCTGGTAGACAAAATCTTCAAGAGTTTGCAGATTTCTCTCAGCGTCAAGACCCGGGTATGTGAAAATGCGGGAGTTGAAGGTGTGGAAGTATATTCCCTCGCCAACATGGAGCCAATACATACCCCTGAGTGTTACATTGTATTTAAGCTCCATGAAACAAATGGAACTGGGGTCATGATGTTGACTGTTTCTGGGGGTATGGAAGTCAGAACTTGACTTTGATCATGACAAATACTGGGGCCGGTTGAAGCGACCAATTCAGCGTCCGGTTTAGGTTTCCGTGCAAAAGCGTTCCCACTGACCCACCCACCTAAAAAGCCTCAACTTTAAGGGGGCCATGCGGGTGTGTCATGGTGTGTCCTATTGGGAAGTCCATTGACTCTTTAAGTGTATGTTAAAGGCGACCCTTTCTTTTTAAGGAGTCCCCTTTCACGGAGCGCCCTCGATTTCTCCATGGGGTTCCAAGGGTGAACCCTGTTTTGTTGGCCCCCGGGTTTTCAACCCGGGAACATTCCAAGGTGCTACTTAGAAGCAGCCCAGGGGAAGCCCATGTGCCTCTTGAGGGAACATGTGTCTTTGTCTCATCCGGGCCCCTGTACTAGAGGAAGCCAGTTTTGTAAATGAGTCCCTGATTTAGAGAAACACCCATGAGTTCTTCGTTTGTTGTTGACCGTTGGCCACGGTTGTTTACAAGGGTGCCTTTTTTTGAGAAATGCCCGAGGCCTGGAGACGAAAGTCCTGGAGAGCCGCGTCTGGAAGGACCTTGCCTCCACGGACATCGACGGTGGCCCGAAGCCCGGGGCCCAGCTCTCGATGGCTGAGCTGAGCTCTCCCTTGACGAGTTTGAGGAAATGAAGCTGGAGCCAAGCCTTGGGCAGTTTTATAGGAGCTCTGGAGAAATGAGCTCGAGCACTGTGAAGGCACATTTCTTGGGTTCCTTGTTTGGTCAGCGCCCCACTCCAAGAGCAGCAACTCTCCAGCCAGATGCAATGAGGAGAGTGAAATGGTAAAGATGCAATAGTATGGGACATAGTGTAACTAGGCTCAACTCGTTTTTCCTGTCCCTCTTTGCAGCTCCCATCTTGACCAGGGACCCGAATTAACGGGAATCAATTAAACCTGCCCTATACAATTAGTGTTGTGTGTCAGATTGGCATCTATTAGCAACAGGCCAACTTACCTAAGGGTTCCGTGCAGTTCCATAAGTCCAGATTTGCTGGGTGTCGGTTGAAGGTAGGCCTTGGCATACATGATCCTCTCGATGCAGCAAATCTCGAGGGCTTCCACTACCCCAAATCACTACCTCAAAGGGGAAAGCCGGGTATATGTGTTTTCTTCTGAAGGTACCCTTTGTGGGTGGATGTTAAAGGGAAGTCACAGGGAAAACCACCGGTTCGGGGGTCCCCAATGCAGCAGCCCTGGAGCAGTGCTTGCATGGGGGGGCGCTGGTGCGTTGCATGGGGGGCGCTGGTGCCAGGCAAGCGGACGCCTTAGACAATCCACGGCCACGAATGTCCTTGAGTTTGTGTCGCTGGAGCTTTTGCACTAAAGCAACCTGTTTTGGTGGTGGGTCTGTCTAGAAATTAGGGGCCCAGTGGGTGGTTGTCCTTTTGCCGTCCTTGTAAAATGGTCCCAAACGGGGTACGGCCAAAAAGATGGCCCCGGTTATCAAAATCATGTTCGAAGGATGCCGATGCCATTTAAATGAAGCTGAGGCATCGCAACACCATCACCTGGCGTGGCACTTCGATCTTCGTTATGATGCTCGGCTTCTCTGAGACAGGGATCCGCTTTTGTACTGTTTTCAGATGTGTGTTCAAAGGCTGCTTTTTCATTGATTTGGGCCTGCACCATTGCGCACCTGTTCATGTTTCACAGTCCGTCACATACTTCTCTACAAATGTTGGATGGAATATGTTCGGGTGGAACTATGCAGAGGCTGGACCCCTTTCGAATGGTGTTTTGGGCCAAATGGACATTGAGGCATTTAGGACCCACCCATTGTCAGCTTATCTTGCGGGATAAGGTGAGCGGTGTTCGAATGTTGCCTGAAACAGGGACGCCCCTTGTCAGATAGGTTAACAAAACATGAACAACACAACCGAGTCTGAGGAAACCCACGCATACTGTGCATAGAACCACTTGGATGAATCCACATCCTCTAGGCAGCCGCTTCGTTTTAAGGCTGAGTGATACCGTCATATGCGGCTGTGGTGTTTTTTTTCGGTGTTCACGCTCAAAGAAGTGTTCTTTTCAGGATTGGGCAGGCATTTGATTGGCGGTTTGGGAATTTGCGCATGATGCATGGCACCTACTACTTAGACAAGTTGTTTCCACAGCCGAGATATTTCTGACTGCTTAGCACATTTCTGACTTTTTGTGGGGATAGCTTTGTTCAGCAAAGATGTTAAGCGTATTCTCTTTTGGAGTAGGGGGTGTTCATCACAGGCCCATCTTCAACCTTGTTGCTGTTGACTGCTTTCAGGGATCCCCGCGGGTCACCAGAGACGTGGGGATCGACCAAAGTTAGGGCTAATCTGTTCGCCTTGACCTTTGAAGGAGAGGGACATCGCTACCAACCCGGGGGGGGGGGATTACCATGGACCCCGCTAAAACGTGCAGGAATGTCCCTTGGGAGGGCGCCTTTTTGCTTTCCCTTTCAAAGGGGAGGTCATGAAAAGGGAATAGGCTACTGCTTTCCCTTTTTCACGTTTCATGATGTTTCAACTTGGGAACCTCAACGATACGGCTTAGGAAAGGCTTCAAGAAGTACCTGGTCAGGGACTTCCCCTTCGACCGCCATGTCATCAGCCTGCCGCGTGGACTCGAAAGCGAGGGATCCATGCCGTGCTTTGCTTGAGGCGTTTGGGCAGAGATTGGTACTCAGCCCCTGGTCCGTTGTAAAGGGACACCAAAGGAGGGTTGTTTAAAAATTAAAGGACCGGATAACCCCACATGCTATGTTTTTCCCAAGGATGTGAGTTCAAATGTCCACACACATGTACCGTGCGCCCCTTGTATGGATGCGATTACAGAGCACCCAGATGCACAGAATGCAGCGCCTGCCACGACTTCGGCAACGGCATCGCCAAAGTGCTGCGCCTGCCACGATTTCGCAACGGCATCGCCAAAGTGCTGCGCCTGCCACGATTTCGCACACCCCCCGCCGCGCGCGCGACAACATCCTGTCCCTCTAGACAGCTGCCGAATGCGACCCCTGCCACACAAACACACACCCAGATGCACAGAATGCTGCGCCTGCCACGACTTCGGCAACGGCATCGCCAAAGTGCTGCGCCTGCCACGATTTCGCAACGGCATCGCCAAAGTGCTGCGCCTGCCACGATTTCGCACGCCCCCCGCCGCGCGCGCGACAACATCCTGTCCCTCTAGACAGCTGCCGAATGCGACCCCTGCCACACAAACACACACCCAGATGCACAGAATGCTGCGCCTGCCACGACTTCGGCAACGGCATCGCCAAAGTGCTGCGCCTGCCACGATTTCGCAACGGCATCGCCAAAGTGCTGCGCCTGCCACGATTTCGCACACCCCCCGCCGCGCGCGCGACAACATCCTGTCCCTCTAGACAGCTGCCGAATGCGACCCCTGCCACACAAACACACACCCAGATGCACAGAATGCTGCGCCTGCCACGACTTCGGCAACGGCATCGCCAAAGTGCTGCGCCTGCCACGATTTCGCAACGGCATCGCCAAAGTGCTGCGCCTGCCACGATTTCGCACACCCCCCGCCGCGCGCGCGACAACATCCTGTCCCTCTAGACAGCTGCCGAATGCGACCCCTGCCACACAAACACACACCCAGATGCACAGAATGCTGCGCCTGCCACGACTTCGGCAACGGCATCGCCAAAGTGCTTGCCACGATTTCGCAACGGCATCGCCAAAGTGCTGCGCCTGCCACGATTTCGCACACCCCCCGCCGCGCGCGCGACAACATCCTGTCCCTCTAGACAGCTGCCGAATGCGACCCCTGCCACACAAACACACACCCAGATGCACAGAATGCTGCTGCGCCACAAGGCAACATCGCCAAAGTGCTGCGCCTAAATTTTCGCCAAAGTGCTGCGCCTGATTTCGCAACGGCATCGCCAAAGTGCTGCGCCTGCCACGATTTCGCACACCCCCCGCCGCGCGCGCGACAACATCCTGTCCCTCTAGACAGCTGCCGAATGCGACCCCTGCCACACAAACACACACCCAGATGCACAGAATGCTGCGCCTGCCACGACTTCGGCAACGGCATCGCCAAAGTGCTGCGCCTGCCACGATTTCGCAACGGCATCGCCAAAGTGCTGCGCCTGCCACGATTTCGCACACCCCCCGCCGCGCGCGCGACAACATCCTGTCCCTCTAGACAGCTGCCGAATGCGACCCCTGCCACACAAACACACACCCAGATGCACAGAATGCTGCGCCTGCCACGACTTCGGCAACGGCATCGCCAAAGTGCTGCGCCTGCCACGATTTCGCAACGGCATCGCCAAAGTGCTGCGCCTGCCACGATTTCGCACACCCCCCGCCGCGCGCGCGACAACATCCTGTCCCTCTAGACAGCTGCCGAATGCGACCCCTGCCACACAAACACACACCCAGATGCACAGAATGCTGCGCCTGCCACGACTTCGGCAACGGCATCGCCAAAGTGCTGCGCCTGCCACGATTTCGCAACGGCATCGCCAAAGTGCTGCGCCTGCCACGATTTCGCACACCCCCCGCCGCGCGCGCGACAACATCCTGTCCCTCTAGACAGCTGCCGTGAGTCAGCGAGTGTGAGTGAGTGAGTGAGTGAGTGAGTGTGAGTGTGAGTGAGTGAGTGAGTGAGTGAGTGAGTGAGTGAGTGAGTGAGTGAGTGAGTGAGTGAGTGAGTGAGTGAGTGAGTGAGTGAGTGAGTGAGTGAGTGAGTGAGTGAGTGAGTGAGTGAGTGAGTGAGTGAGTGAGTGAGTGAGTGAGTGAGTGAGTGAGTGAGAGTGAGTGAGTGAGTGAGTGAGTGAGTGAGTGAGTGAGTGAGTGAGTGAGTGAGTGAGTGAGTGAGTGAGTGAGTGAGTGAGTGAGTGAGTGAGTGAGTGAGTGAGTGAGTGAGTGAGTGAGTGAGTGAGTGAGTGAGTGAGTGAGTGAGTGAGTGAGTGAGTGAGTGAGTGAGTGAGTGAGACGGAGACGAGCGGGAGAAGGAGGAGACGCGGCGCGCGGACGACGAGCGGAAAAAGTAAGAACCCCACACAAAGATGTGGGGAAATAGTGGAGAAAGGCATACGTAAGTTCAAACAAGGGCGTGGCCCGATCCTGGTTTTAGGACTCTGCGGGGGTCTGGAAGATCCTCATGCGTGGACCAGCCTTTGCACACCCATGGTTTCATATCCGTTGAACCCTCTGAGGAGAAAGGCTTACACACGCGTGCCCGTCACTGTATTTCTATCCTGTCATTCTGACTGTTGAAGGAGAACAGCTCCCGATTTCCCCAACAAGAGCACTGGTCCAAAACAGCCCTGTCGCGCCATTGGCAGACACTCGACACCCTCTCCTGAAGATAGATGGCTTCAGACGCTTTGGTTCTGGATTTCAGTCCCATCTATCCTTCCCTGGAAACCGTGTGTGCCACATTTGTTTGGTCGACATGACTTGGAACAACGAAAATGGGTCTTGTTGATTTCCCTTTGAGCCAACACCCTCAAAAAAGACACGGCCATAATGGCCATACGATATGATAGTTTGCAATCGCCCTTGGTCTGTCACCAAGCGTCCCACCTCCAAGGCATCAGATAGACTTTGTGTGGCGCCCGAGCAAAGATGATCCCACCTTCTACGACTCCATGACGCTCAGCAGGAAATCAGCTAGTTGGAGAGGGGAAACGCCTCAGAAACGCTCACTTTCCCCTTCAGCATGTCCCATGTCATGATGTTTTGTATTCTGTTTATCAGTCGTTGCCTACACCATCGCTTTCCACACAACCTCATACTGGAGCCTTTCAACAGACAGCAACTTCATCAGTTTGTTTGCACGACACGCGGGCTTCACTCTAACGACCAAGACTTAAGGCACAACATACCTGCACCAGCTTTCGGAGAGTTGCTACACGAACCACTTCTCACAGCAAGTTGCTTCAGATGACTCGACGTTTGTCGCAGGAGAGCACCAACGAGATCTTCTTTCACATGTCTCGAGGACACATGAGCGCTACGCACAAGTGAAACGACTAGGAGAAACAAGTCCATGCCTAACGCAACTCTGTACCAGCACCGTTTTTTCTCACTTGGTCCTCCCCAAAAGAAGAGGACACATGAAAAATGTCACAAGAGAAGTTCACCTTTCTCTTGATAGCCACTGGACAACCATGTGTACCCTATGGTGCATTGCTTACTTGCAACGTTTCACGGCTTCCCGTTTCATACCCTTCTTGAGTGCAAATCAAAGACCTCCTAAAATCAATAGTGAAGCAACCTTGCTTGATATCGCCAATTCTCTTCACCCTGTTAGTGTTTGTCCCTTTGGTGTTCCTTCAGTTTCCTTTCAAGTTTGCTTTTTTCAGGGGGTGTCTAGTTCCCAAATCCCAACCCACTATACCAATTCTCAATATGGTGGCCCATATCCACTTCATCCCCAACCTCCGGTGCTTGGAGAGCACACAGTGCCTGACAGCAACTCGTGGCTGGCTCTCGCTTCAGGAAAGTGGTCTGGCAACTTGGCAAAATGCAAAATGGCGCATGGGTTCGACTCTTGCAGATTGTTGTTGGTTGTTTTGGTTTGATTGGATTGGGTTTGGTTGGGTTGGTTGGTTTGTTTGTTTGGTTGGTTTGTTTGGTTGGTTTGTTTGGTCGGTTTGTTTGGTCGGTTTGTTTGGTTGGTTTGTTTGGTTGGTTTGTTGGTTGGTGGCAAACATAATGCCCGTCTTGGGTACCCCACTCCAAAGGCCCTGTCAAGCAACACATCCTGTTTGCCTTTTTTGCACGTGGCCCTGACCAGGAGATCTTTGCACGGAGCATGACTATCCGCCTTTCCAAACCACCAAGTTCCGCTGGTAGATAGACCTCAAATGCTTGGGCTTAGTAGGCATTGTCATAATCCTTCATTGTGCTTTAGGGACTCTTGTGAACCACTGCAATGGTTCCCAGGGGATCAATGGCCACGACTAGCAGAAAGAGTTTTGACCGTAGGGCAAATGGCCCGAAGTCCTGATGACGTGGTACAGTTTTAGACGTGATAGGTTCATGATTTTCCCAGGGTGCTGTTTGGTTTATTCCCCGGGCACCTGTGAGCCTAACCGTCAAAAGCTGTCCTGCCACTGGGCCAACAGTTCTCATTCGCGCCAAGGCTGAAGCAATGGGTCCAAGAACAATTGGGTCGGCGGGTTTCCATCCGCAAATGGTGAAATGGGCCACAGACGCGTGAGCCAAGGGAATGTCTTAAGTGATCAACTCGTGATGATGACCCTTGGCACCACGGAAATGTCGGGGGATTTTCCGCATCGAATCTATCGCATCGTTGGTTGCTTTTTTCCACGCTGGAGCCGGGTGGAACAGCGCCCTGCAAATGGAATGTAGGCAGGAGATGACCCTGGGGTTGCCCTTGCGTTTCATTTGTCCTTTCCTGGAAATGGGTTTGTCTTGAATTGAGGGATCCCCCAAAATGGGTGGTTTCCCCTTGGTGTCCTTCAAAAGAAAAGGTACCCTTCAAAAAGACACATTCAAAAAGAGCCTGCTGGGTCCAAAGCGTTTCCATCATTCCCCGAGTAAATGTGGTGCAAAGAGTAGCAAAATGGCTTGTTGTTTTTGGGTACCCTTTTTGTGGTTTGAAAGAGACATCAACTGGAAAGCCACAATTTCTGGGGATCACATAAAATACACCTAAATGAGCTTGCCCACGATGAAGGTTCCCTTGCTTGGGTATTCTCCAATTCTGATTGGTGAATCATAGTGATTGGTGCTGAAGCGAGCACGAGCCCGCAGGACTGCCTTCGAAACTCCGCCCAAGGCATTCATTCAGCTTCGCTGTCAGTTTGACAAGGTTTGACCGAGCCGGGGTTGGCTGCTGTTCACTCAGGTTGAGGGTGGACACATCATCCGTGCTCTCAGACGCTTGGCAGGATTTTGAACGGAAAATATTTGGGCAACTACAGGAACCTACCTCAACTATTCTGAACGTAGGCGGTGTGTTTTTTACAGGTTTGTTCGAACAGTGGGTCCTGAATGAGCTGAACTCGGATGACCTTCGGTGCGGCCGTCCTACGCCAAGATCGTCTTGAATGCTACGGGTTGGATCTTTCTCCTTTACCTTTTGCTAAACATGATTATGTTCTAACTAACCTGAAAAAGGCTTCCATTCCCCTGATGTTCAAGGGAAGCTACCAGAAACCTGTTCTCAGTTTTCAGACATATGTGCAAATGAAAGTTACACTCGGGAGGGAACCAGCCATCCACTCGCCATGTCTCATTGCTTCGACTTCAGCCCAGACCTCCAGGTGCAAACACTTTTTCAAGTTCTTTTGGAGGGGGCCTCTGTTAAACCTACGAGGAAAACAAAAGGTGCGCATCAGTTCTTGTTCTTCTTCCTTTTTCCGTTGAAATCCACTGAAGGACTAGGTCACCTTGCGGATCGCGCCTTGTATCATCAGCAACTGCCCGGCGTGAGGTTTCTGCGTTGGGTATGCCTGGGATCGCTGACTCCGGGCGTTGAGAGCTGTTGTTGGTTGTTGCTTTTTGGATATTCGTAGTGTCAGCGACCACTTGCTGATGTTGAGAGAGGTCCCTTGGGTGGTCTCCACAAGATTGTTGGACCAGTTACTGTATTTTACCCTGTCTTCTGTTTCAAAAGAATCCAATTGGCGGTTGGTGAAACCAGCCTTTCAGCGCGAGTGTCAGGAATGGCAGCCGCTGTCTGCGCTGGTGGAACCCGACCAATGGTGCACGAGCAGTGCCCTCGCCATACGATGATGCCAACCTTTAGGTTTCAGGTCGCGTGGGCAAGGGTGCAGGTCCCTGGTCCTCGAAAGACTCAGAGCCCGAGGTTCTGTGAAATCCCGCACCGTGTGAGCCTCCTGTGTTGCATGTGGATGGGCTTTGAGGCCCAGTGTTTGTCTTTCCTGTTGTGGTTGACCCTTGGCAAAAAATGCTTGACTCTTGTCTTCTTTGCGCAATTAGGTAACTCATGTCACCCCAACCCGACGAATGAAGTTTGAAAAACCGTTTCGTCGACTCACCCAGCAGCCTTGTTTTGTTCACTTGCTCAACCTTTGGGTTTTGGTCCCAGAAGGATGGGTCCTCAGAGATAGTGATCCGATCAAATGGTTGGTTCTCTGGTTTTCCTCGCGCCATCCAACAGGCGGGGCGCAGTTCTTTGGGCCCCAAATGTTCGTGAAGAATCCAGGAGTGTCCCGCAAGTGAAGTTGGACGCAGGTCGGGGCGAGGTTTGCTTATGTCCGGTGAAGCTAAAGATGTTTGTTGATTCGCCCCCGACTGCAAACGCATGTCACTGACTGAGGTGATGCGGGCGATTCCAAAACCTTCGCTTCCAAGTTCAAGATCCGGCTCCGTATCGAGCGGGTTCACGGATTCTACGCTGCCCGGTTCAGAAGTCTCTGGGGTCTCTGAAGTATTTGTTCAGTTTGGAATGCAACACATTCTGATCCTGGAGTTACTGAGTTGGGCCAATTGGTACGTAGGTTTAATATGGGTTCGGTCAAAACATGCGTAGTCTGTGACCAATGTGAGAGGGACACTAAGGACTCGCCAAGTTTCCCACAAGCACGGGCCACGATGCAATGTTGTCCGGGGCTATGGCTTCCCTTGTCAACCCCCACAAACCGTTTGTTTCCGCTCAATGATTTTGGATGCCCAAAATGGGGCTCGACTTTCCGTTTGGTTAATCTTTGCGCAGCCCAATATGCACTTTTGTTTAAATGACACACCCTTCTCGTATCGACGAGCTCCAGAAGGGCAGCTAGGCCAGGGCCATTTTGATCCAAGCCGGCTTATCCAGACTCTGCGGGGTGGTTCCGTGGGCACCGGGAGAACCTCCTCGGGCAGAAACCGTTAAGGGTCCTTCCGGCAAACCCATCATTGCGCTCACCGATTCCGATCGGCCATTGTAAGTTCTACCTGGGCTAAGTAGCAAAGCCTCATAGCCATCACAAACCTTTATAGCCATGTTAGCCATTGGCCATGTCAGCAGAGCCAAAAGCCAAAGGGTTTGGCACCGCCCCTTTGTGGTTGTTTGGGGTCCAGAATCTCGTCCCGCAACAGGTGTTTTGAAAGCATGGACGTCGCCGGCGCGATGTTGCTAGAATGAGGAAGCAGGGCTCCTCAATTTCGTGGCCTTGATACTTTTCGGGAGTAGGTTCGTCGCTCCCCCTACCAATAAACTGCGAACCCCCTTGAGCAAAACCAAACACCTTGCAAGAATCACCACTTCGAACCATCCCCACCCAGCCTCGAGCCCCCGGTTTTTTCCGCGCGGTTTGCCGCTGCATGACCCCAAACCTTGCTGGGAAAGATGCCCGTGGCCAAACGCAGACACTCAGACCCAAGACGGCGCGTGTCTGACCACATTTGGCCTGGCCACACACAAACAAACTCCAACCTGGAGCTGCTGCATAGCTTTCAGGCGGATTTTCGAAAATTCTAAAAACCCGTCTGACGAGTGGGCAAATTGTTTGTAGGGGGGCCACGGTTCTGGGAATCAAAAGATTTCCGGGCCCAGAATCGTTCCAAACTTCACTTCCAAGTAAGGGATTTGTAACTTATCAATGATGCAATTGTTTTGCTGGCTTAGAAGTGATTTAGAGCTGGCTTCAGGGGAGGTCCTAATGCGACTGGGGGTGGAACCTGCCAGGACATTCTGCTACGTAGATTGGAAGTGGTTGAGCATTACGAAGTCAATTCGAGCTTAGTATTGGCGGACTTCGGGCTTGTGGGAAAACAACTCTTATTATTGCATCTTGAAGGAGAAGGGACTAGCACACCAAGTTTTGCCTTTTTTGCCCCATCCACGCAGGAAGTGAGTAGCCGTCCAGTGAAACTGATCAAGCCCAGAGTCAGTCAGTCTCCGTTTTTCAATCCTCCGCGAGCCAAATCTGCAAATACTGGCCGATTGTTCTCGGACATAATTTGTGTGTGTGTCAGTGTGTGTGTGTGAGTGTGTCCTGCAAGAGCGTTGCCGTTTGCTTGGCGAGAAGGGAATCCAAGATCATGCCAAGCATTTGACAATATTCGACATATCCTCTATTTGGACACACCCGCATTGTCTTAGCAAGATTGTCTTCCTGGCAGACCTCGGGATGGCATGGTTGTCAGACACATTCTACGAGTGCTTGATGGCTGCCAGTTTTTGAGTACCTCTTTCAGCAATCTGTTCAGGTAGATACACAGGTGGCCCACCCAATATGGTCACCTGGAAACCCGGATTAATCGATCCGCTGGATTTATGATTGGTAGCGGGAGCATTGCCCCTAATAGTGAAGGAGTCTCGTTGCAACGGAGGACCCCGTATTGCTTAGCCAAGGTATTATTAGAACTGCGAACCCACTACGAGTGAAACATGCGTATATCCAACTCTCTTTGTAAGTTGCCATTCGACAAACTTTGCCCTGCCCTGATGCTGGCTTTGATGCTGACTTTCCTTTGATGTCTTGCCTGGATTGCGGACCGTTTGGGATATGACTGAGAAGGCGGGCACGCATAACAATTACATGGTAACTATATGGGTTTGCCTCCAACTAGGGAACCCCAAAAAACGGCTTGTTTCCTGTGGATTCCCTCCACACAATCCCCCAAAACACCTTCAACAAAGGACACACCCATATTCATGTTAGGCTCATAGTCACAGGCCCAAGCTTGAGCCAGCAGTCCTAGCTGGCATCCTGATGTCCACTTTGCGACCCTATGATGGTATGTTTTGTCTTTCTAGCTGTGCGCAGTATCAGCACCAGGGGTCTGCTGGACTCGCTGATCATGTCGATGTGCCAGCTGCTCATAGCTGAGTCTCTTTGTGATGTGGTCAGCCCATTGACACAGCTAGCTTTGGAAACACGTGCATGGGACTCTCGCTGTTGGGGCTTTGGTATGGCCAGTTGAAAGGACCCGACCTGTTTGTTTGATATGTGCATGGACAACTCGAGGCTAAGCCTTCATCCTGGGGCGGAACTGGTTCATACTTTGGGTGCATATCAACAGCAATATGGCAAGATGCATGCCACACTCCCTGTTGACTACTTGCTATACTTGCAGCCATGCTGATGGCTCCAGAAAAATGTGAAAGCCCAGAGGGGTAAGATTCGAGCTAAGGTGCGCCAGATTTTCTTGATATCTACGTTGCAGCTTGGCTCCATGAATAGTAAATTGTACCCCAATCTTGGAAGGGAAATCCAGTGAGGGTCCATCATTAATTAGATGCAGAGAGAGGGAGAAAATGCATGCCGGTAGTAGCAGCGACAAGCATGTTCAGGATATCAGGGCAAAGTGTTGGCAGTCCCTCAAGTATGAGCATTGCTCTATTGATATCAGCCAGAATGTGACAGCGGCGAATGTACTACGAAAACTGTGTGTTTATTTCTTGTCGGTGATTGCCTTCATGTCAGATGTCTTCTGATTATGCTTGCTAAAGGACCCATAAATACTGTTTAGTTTCCCTAAAAGCAGACCACAAGTGAATGAATTGCATTTTGCCAGACCCCGCATACACCAGCTGATCCCGAGCTGAGCATCTTTTGTGAGTTCCTTCAAAGGATCCCATCCGGTTCATTTCCAAAGCCTTGTGTGATTCCCTACCGAGAACCGGGGAATACCAGCACGCCATGTACGCAACTCAACCCAACCAGTTACACCATCAGCAGATAACAGACACACACACACAGACACATACAGACACCGAGGCAAGGAACAGACAAAGAGGCGGACAGACACAGAGACACACAGACATGAGAACTTATCATTTGGATGGCAATCGGTCGCGTGCACAGAAAGGCACCAACCATATTCCGCACCAACCTGATGGGGGTGTTTTCTTTTCAAAGTTTCTTTTGTTCTATGTTTTCAATCGCGGAGCCTGGTTTGGTTTCTGGAAATACCAAGGGAGTTCATATCCAATCCAATACACCCCAGCTCAAAACAAAAGCCCGAAAGGGGCAAGCGGATTTTCTTGTCACCCAAACAAAGAGTGTCATAGCGTTGAAGCCTAGTTGACTGACAAAACTAGACATTAAAACTGGAAACTCACAAACGGTAGAGCACAATGACCCTTTTTCTCAGATTCCGTGCTAGTGGATGGGATGGTCAATGTTGGCCCAAACCCTGCCCAAACCCCACATCCTTGAGCTTACAACATCCCTCAACTCGAAGGTTCGTAGAGGACACTCCCGGTATTTTGGTGTGGATCTCGGCACGGCTAATTTGTTACATGTTGGGTATAGACCCAGTTAAAGGTGTTTCTCAGAAATCGGGATCGGCGATTTCCTTTGGCTTGTCTTTACCATTGAGGGGTCCACCCGGTCTTTCGTGTCCTTTTGGGGGGCCTTTTTGGGAAGATATCTGAATATATGAAAGAAGACCACTGCATAATTCGAATCAATCACGTAATTGTACTGACAGATCCTCTTTGGCAATGGGAATTCGGATCGGAGCCCGAGGATTGCCCTGAGCACCTGCTCCCCACTGGGCATGCCCCCCAGCGAAGACGCCATGAGCACCCGGCTCTCCGTCTACGGCTCAGGATCGGAAAAGGGAACCGATCCGTTTACTCAGGGTTACGTAGACTTCCTCTTCAGCATCACGCCAAGAGGAAACTCACTTTCAAATTGCCCAACATGTGATGCTGAAAGCCACCAAAAGCGGAAATATAGGGAACCCGATTTGAATTGTTGGTTGCTTTTGCGAGGGAAGGGCATGCCAAGAAGTCCAAGGCCTCCAGTGAGTTGCTTCCTTTTTGTTTGTTTTTGCTTCTTTCCCTGTAAAAATCAACTACTATAAAAAGATGGGGCCTTTGTTCCCATGGCCACTGAGGGTCTGGGAAGAGGACCCGGCCCTTGGCCATGTGTTTGTGTTGTTTATTGTTTGTGTGGGACCTTTGGCCGTATATGTGTGTGTTGATATGTTTTTCCCGAGGGTAGCCTCTGGGGGTTTGTTTGAAATTGAACCAAAGGGAAAACCACAATTTTGTTGGTTGTTTCCATTTTACGACACGCACGTATTTGCAGTCCAGTTGGTAAGTACACTTTTGCAACTTTTTTGGCTCGAATACTCAACTACAAAGCAGAGCCATTTGAGCCTCCATTGTCAGGGCTTTTGGCTCACTCTATTTGCTAAGGAGCGGTCAACAAAAAGGATCTTTTCAATGGCACCCACCAGCAAATTGATCAACTTGTGAATGTCTAAACTCTAGACATCTGTGTGACTAGGAAGTGGTCATCAATCATGTAGTATGGGGATTGTGCTGCAAGTGTTTGGGTTTGTGGAATCATCACTATCAGCCACAAGAGCAGCTTTGACCATGCCACGTTTAGTTGGCCGGCTTGCAGTCCTTCTTGTTTCCTTCGGGAGAACAGGGATTTTACATACTCCAAGATGGTAAGAGAGCCGGTTTGTCATCTGTTTGGTCTGATTTCCCGCCCATGACTCTCATCTAAAAAAACAAGCTAGTCAGTGACTTGTTGCCCACCTTATCATCCGCGAAACTGAATATGTTTGCCAGTCGTTGCATCATAGGCTCGGTGGCTGCATCATGCTGCATCCGAACCTCAGGTGCAGCGTATTACGAGCACACACACACACACACACACGCATACACACACACACCGTTTTGAACCACCCACCTAATGATTCCTTTTCCCTGTGTATAAAGCAGGTGACCACGGGAACCAACGTTTACCAAACAAGAACCGGCGAATGGCTGGTTGGGTTACCTATGGCGACACACCTCGGATTTGGGCCTACTTGTTGAGCCCTTTGCAGGTCTGCTGACTCTTGTGGCCTTCAAGTACGGCAGCTTTGGCTAAAGCAGATGGCTGTGAGTTGACTCAGGAACCACCTCAAAAGTTTTTGGTGGACATGCATCCCCCACCTAAATGATGTTCACCAAAGGGTCCCCTATTGCCCTCTCAAAATTCACAGCCATTCCACCCGGAGGCGTCCGGCGAGTATGCCCAAGCTTCCCTGTTTTCAGGTCCAGGGAGTAAACATATCTGTTTCGCGCCAACTTCAACATCACATTTTGGACAGGCAAGTTGAAGGCTTCCTTTCAATCGGGGTGACCTGGAGCCCTTTTGCTCCCTGTTGCACAGATCCTTTTGAACAGATGAGCTGATATTGGGTTTGGAAGGCAGAGGCAAGAGTTCCAGCTGGCTATGGCACATTCTGACTCGGGGAGTTGTAAGTGGGTTGAATTGAATAGCCGGACGCCTAGTCCACGCGCGCAATGTTGGGGCCCAACGATGCCAGCTTCGCAGACCACCTTCAGACAATTCATTGGCGGCAGTGTGCATCAATGCCCAATGGCCACTCTGGCTACCAGAACCACCCAACGTCTAGCTTCAACATGTTGACCCGTGATTTGCTCCATCCTGTGGGTGAGTGAGCAAAAGAGTGAGGCCAGCTTACTCGGACTGATACTTTTGGGGCAAAAGCGTGAACCCTCTGTGGCAGATGCATACATACTACTACTATATACATTTATACATACATATTCTCACCCGCCCATGAAGCTCATGTTTAACACAATTCGCAGGGGATGTAGGTATACTGTATATATATATATATAAATATATGTATACAGGAGACTTGCTTTTGTTTTGCAATGGGAGTAGCTCAACCACACAATCAATTGGGTGCTGGACCGAGGCTGCTCCATGGCTGTCAGTGGCTTCCCCTTACCTTTGAGATCCAGCTTAAAGGCCTGAACTATGGCACCCATAGTTCGCTACATCTTTAAGCAAGCTTTCTCCCTGGCTTCGGAAGCTAATTGGAAAGCGCGGGCGAGTCCCTAGCCTTGCAATGAGCAAAGGTGTGATCGAGCACTTGCCCAGCGTCCCATACAACACCTTCACGGAGGGGCGGGGGGGTGTGCGGACGCACGGTCGGCCTCGGATATCAGATGTGTTCTTGCCAGTGCTCCACAAAAAGGAACCTCACAAGTCACATGGTCAGGCACAGAAGCTAGGGATTGCGCTTCACAAGTATCATGCAGCGTAATCAAAGGCAACGCCAAGTCTGGGCGTGCCTCCCATGCTGTTGTAGATAACGGAAGGTCCTGCCGAATCCTTGCATTTGCTGCAAAAGAAAACATGTGGGTGCCATGGATGTGCTCTCTCCCAACAAGAGGCACCCTTGGAGGTGTGGTCAAAATGTCCGGTAGTCCATGGTCAATTTGGGAGGGACATGGTGACATGATCGACTGACTAAATGTCCCACAAACCCGGGGACTCACTAGTTTACCCATGTCCTTTCGGGACGATGCACATTCTGACCGCCGCTCATATGTACCTTGCAGGGTGAAGACTTAGTATGTGTGTTTCTCCTCTTCAAAAGCCGAGAAAGGGCCAGTGGCCCAAGATGCTTGCCCGGATTGCATGCTACATGAGCATTCCGCAATGAGGAAGCCAGAACCAATTGAGCGATATTCTCAGGGGTCGTGTCACCACGTTGCAGGCAGGTGCCCTCGCAAGTTCGGAGAAAGAGTCTGCGCAAGAACATGCATTTTGCACAAAATAATTGGCAAAGTAGGTGGGGAAATAGTAGATTTATTGGGAGCGGCAAAAGGCAACTACCGCAGTTCTTGACGTAGGTAGAGGGTGGGGCTCGGCCATTGCCGGCTGATCAATATGGGAACAAACGAGCCTACTCCTATTGATATCTTTGCTTGCTTGGGCCAGCCAGGCTGTACCCAAAAAAGACAAGCCCTGGACATAATTGAACCGCAGTGAAGAGAATCCAAGGGGTTTCGCTCACGGCTTTTATGTTTCCGTGCAAGTCGAGTTATGGCCTTCCTGTTTCTGATTGTTCATGTTCATATTTGGAGGATGACTATCTGATGATGCAGATCATGATGGTCGTGTTCGCCATTCTGGAGTGCCTCATCGCTTACAGGCGCCTGAGTCCTCATAGAATTGGGAGAACTGAACATATTTGACCAACATACATGGAGAAGGACTCATGCTTACTTCTCCTGGTTGTCTTCGTGCACCCCGGGACACACTTTCGGGAATTGCACTGCATGTGTGTGTGTGTGCGCGAAAAACCTGCGCTTACCAGTTAAAGCTTCTGCGTAGGCACAGATATCAAGTTGTCCTGTACCACCCCTTCTTTCCTTGTCTTTGGATATGGGCGTGCCTTTTTTACCCCCTACTCAAAAACAGGAAGGTGGATTTCCTTGGCTTCCTCTCAAAGCCATAAGAGATCCACACATCCAGGGCAAGCATGACTCCGGGCCGTCCGCTTCCGAACTGAAGTATGCTTGGCTTGATGTCATCTAAGGTACAATAAGATGCTAACAAAGCATTATATAATAACATGATGCTCCTATGATTCATAAATTTACATGGAGATTGAGTCCGTACCCAACACCCCCCGTACATATTTTGAGCCCCATATGTTTTTCTCCTAAGCAAGCAAGCCCGGCTGACCCGTGGGACAGATTGAAACGAGCACTCCTTGCTTTCAACCCCTAAAGCTTGAGAAAGATTCGGACGGCTTCTTAACTCAAAGGGAGTATGTCAAACATGATTGGTGGTTTAGATACATTCACACTTGTGGCTGGGCAGTAGTCACCTCATTGAAGCAACAGCTAAGTCAAATCCAGCCCTTGGACAGTTGAGGGATAAAGAGGGCTAACATAACTCCACCCAGATAGGTGATATTTAAGCGACCAAACTTATGAGCTGCGGATTCTTATGATAATAGCCTCCAGGGAAATTATTGTTCCCAGACTGCAATCCGATTTTTTGCTATAAGAAGAGGGCCATCAATACGATCCGGATTCTGTTGATGCAGGTGGGAGATCGCGGAGCGAGGCATCGACCAGGTGGAAAATGTTCTACTGGTGATGCTTTGCCTGGGCTGGTCTTGCTTTCTGCCACTCAGCTTGGCATTGGAATCAGAAGAAAATGGAATCATCCGTTGGAAGACCTAGTTGTGTGTTGGAGTAGTGTTGGAGTAGTGTGTGTGTGTGTGTGTGTGTGTGTGTGTGTGTGTGTGTGTGTGTGTGTGTGTGTGTGTGTGTGTGTGTGTGTGTGTGTTTGTGTTTGTGTTTGTGTTTGTGTTTGTGTTTGTGTGCGTATTGTGCATATGTATATATATATATATATATATATATATATAATATATGTGAGTGCTACCCCCTGACAAATCTGTGTCGGGTCAGTTTCAAAGCAGCCAATCCAGACCTTTAAGATCTATTCGAACTCTAACTTGAAGAAACACCATATTCAATTAGCAACGAGGGCCCGCAGCGGAGAAGGTCAAAACACAGGCGTCTTTACGGCCTAGTTCCGGCCCTAGCAACATACTTCAACACGGGAGCGTATTACGCGAAATTCATCACAGTGATGTGGCCTGGCGCTTGCAGCACGCCGTTAACATGCGGGCACGAAAGACAGTGCCCGCGAAGCATATGCGCGCGAGATAAAACTTTAAACTCGCCACGACACGCCCCGGATACGCCCGGATACACGGTTTCTCCAGTCAGGCAACGCCAGCCCGGATACAACTTTTTCCACAAAAGAAGTCCCGGATATGTTTTTCGGCACTTGACAAATACGAAGACTTACAACAGCAGGGTATCCCGGATACGCTTTAAGCGGGGGTCCTGGACACACGTTCAGCCCCGCGACTTCCTTCTTGTTTGAAGGGGGAGGGGGGGAGCTGTATGACATTACAAGATTTGATGCAAGATTGCTCTCATGGAAAAGCCCAAACACAGCGCAGCAAGGATTCCTAAATGTTCTGTACGCCTTTTCCGTTCCTTCCACATGTCAGGCAGCTTTATGCCCCTTGATCACGGGCCGAGCAGGTTGTCCAAAATAGCCTTCCCTGCCGTATACCCTCAGAGTGGCTTGATTGATTTGCAACTTGGTTTCGTCTTTAAAGATCATTTCAGCTTTTGGGTTTTTGGAAAGGAGTTTCTATTTCAATCAGCCCGAAAGTCACACATGTAGTAAGCAAGATACACTTGGCAGCTCCCGCGCAATCAAGAGCAGTACAAAAGTAGTGCTGTGCGCGGCGTACGCTTTGATGACAGCGTGCCTGCAGCAGCTCTGTTCATTCTTGCCTGCTTCCTATGTTGTTTTGCAGCGCAAAGCAGCAAGCTCGCAATTGGTGAGAAGGCAGTATTCTAGTTAAAGTTGAAACCCAACAGCTCTGTTGTCGTTGTGTTACTCTCGTCGTTTTGCAGGGCATCCAAGTTTGCATTTGAACATGAACTCCAACCCAACTCCAACCCAACTCTAATTGTGCTCCATGTCCTTGTGCAGCTCCATTTACATTATCGTTAAACATGGCTCACATGGTTTCATTTACATCCCAGTTCCATTGGAAAGCAACTCCCATCTACACTGTGTGTTGCTACTCTAATGAGATGGTAAGTTTGCCAATAACATCTACGGCAAATCACATGTGGGAAGAAGCAGCAATTTCAGGTGCTGTTCCAGGTTCAAACCAATCTCAACTTCAACCGATTGGGTTTTCTCCTACATCGCGACAACAAAACAAAAACACAAATGAAGAAGCATACCCAGTGAACTTGAATAGTTGGAACTGCTAGCTGAACTTAACATCAAACTAAATTTCAATTGGGTTATGAACCTTAGTCTATGTCCATGTGCACTTAAATCTTCACGACCTGAGCCAAGCCAAGAACGGCAAAGTCTGTCCAACAACATGGATGAGCTTCTTGGCAACAAACGCAGTAAAATGCAGCATGTTTTGAGCAACTATCCCCTCGAAATAAGGTCAAACAGCGAAGTGTATGGCAAGATTTCGCCCAAACAATATGTTCAGACGGGGCACTTCCTCAATCAAACAAGAATGGCCTCCGTATGTACAAAGAAACCCCACCGTTTTGGAACAATTTGAAAGTGCTTTCTGGGGCTGGATCCAAGATCCACGATTCCAAGGAAAAACAATGAGAATCTTGGGGTGCAGGCCACCCCAATAAAACTTGTTTAGCGTTTTTCGGCCAAGATCCAAGGTTGCACTAGGATCCAGCCTGAACAAACGTAATACGTGTTTTCTGGGAGTGGCCTAGATCAAAGATTCCCAAGAAGCTGTTCTGTGCATTTGTTTGCCTTTCTCGTTCGATTTAGGAGCTGCCCAGTTTGACCCTCAACTTATTTTGCTGGGTAAACAGAAGGAAACACATGCTCAACAAGTGCTGTACCGTGCACTGTTTCTGGACAGGTCATTGGAGGCAGGGGTACTCGTAATTACCGTTTGTATCTACACTAGTATAAATGTATATGTCTAGAAGTGTTTTGCGTGGGTGTGTCAAATACAAGAAGGCACCTGGCGTCTCTCAGGAGCCACGTGTGGTTCGTCAAGCCGAACCGCCGCACCGCGTGGTGCCAAGTCAGCCTCGGGGACCCGGACGCCGACTTGGAGCGCAGCGAGGCGAAGACGCGGCGTTGGGCCTCGTTTTGAGCGTACCATTTGTTGGGTGTCAAAGGAACAGATGAACATCCAAAGACACCCCCGGTTGATTGAGCGAATGACATATGAACAGATACATGTAATTAATACACAGACAATATTTGCAGATACGGATTCCAAACGAGATATCAAGGACACAAGTCCCAAACTGGGACCCCTTCTTTGCGAGCATCCCTCACCCCGTCCCGCCCAAACGGGCCGGGATCTCATGGCGGGCCAGGCAGATGACGACTTCCAAAATCCGAATCGACAAGAGGTGATGTACCTGCAGGATGGGATCGCATGAATTTGCTGCATATGCCATATGTGAGTCCCCCATTGGGCAGTTGGAGTCCTTGTTGGCTGCCTGTTTGGATAGTTCTGTCCTGGACTTAGAGACGGATTTCTCTGGGGTGGACCTAGACACCTGCGAACATGAGCAACGTACAGAAATTCAGGGGATGTTCCTGGATGCTTGCAATATTCAACGAATCAACCGGCCTGGCCAGGTACAGATCACCCTCCACCAGTATTTTGAAAATATGGACAAACAACGAGCGCGTTTCCTTCTGGTTTTCCTTTCAGGCACCGTCCAAAAGGGGGTTCTTCTGTTCAGCACACCTCCTCCGTTCGCTTTCATTCGATATGCCCTTCGAGGAAGAGACGACGGAGACACCCTTGGCGTGGATCCCAAGATAGGCGATGCACTCGCCGATGCTGTACCAGTTGTTTTCTCCAGATGGAGTTCCCTTTAGTCACGTAAGTTCAACCACCAAAATACGAAAACCATGGTACGGTTGCGCGGCAGGGTCGCGGCGCTGTTGCGTTTTTTATCAAGCGCGAGAGTGTGCATTTAAATCTTCCAGGCCCCAACTTCTGGGCCATGCCTTCTGCACAGTGCAGCTCAGCCATGAGGTCTTCACCTTGGCTTGTGGAGGCCCGTACTCTTAGCGCTTAAAGCCCGTGTACTTAGATTCCGCGGTATGTACTTCTCAAGGCAGGGGCCCACCTGCAAGGCTGAACAATGTCCAATACGTGGGCTAAGTCCGAGTGGCTTGCCAGCTGTGAATGCAAGCGCCAGCGAGTCAATGTAGTATATATCTACTGGAAACCGGGTGCGTGCTTGCAAAAGGCGGCTGAAATCTGCTTGGCCGAAGCAAGATGAGGAGACACAAGGAGCGAACAGCCACTGGGCCCAAAGAATGCATGTGAGTGGACCAAAAGCTTCCTATTTCGGTCCACAAGTGGCTTGCAGCTATCAATGATCTCACTCAGCCAAACGTGACGTCATCATTCCTCCCCCCACCCGCCCCCCCCCCCCCCCGCAACCCCCCCCCCCAACCCCTCCCCACCCCAGTGCCTGACTGAAAACGGCAACAGTCCCACGACGCAAGGGGCGCCGCCACAAAACCGTCATACCCGTTTTCCATGGCAACTGGGCAAGTAAGACCACCATATTGTGTATGGTGGGAACATGGAAAGACTTGTTTGTAGCCAGCGTCAACACCTGAGCGATTTTCTAAAACCCCTGCATTTGAAAGTAGTATTCGGGAGGAAATATCGCTTTCAAAATGTTGATTTTGCCCACGTCGCGGAAAAGCCGCGCAAGGTTCGCGGAAGGGGTTTCTCATTTATGCACTCGCGGAAGCTTCGCTAGCATCTTCAAACCTCTTGCGGAAGGAACCTTTCATGCCGCGCAAGCTGCGCGGAATCTGCCCCTACTTAGTGTTTGAGCCCTGGTCGCACAGCAGGCAGACATTTCCCAAGTGCGTCCTTTTCAGTGAGTGCCTCTGAGTGCCAGTTAGTGCCAGTCAGTGCCAGCCATTGTGTGTGTACGGAACCTTGCGCGGCCTTGCCTTGATTTTTCCCGAAAGCATCGCGAAGGGTTCTTCCGTGCGGAGCCCTTGGACAAGTTACACAGAGCCAAGTTGCACAGAGCCAAGTTACATAGAGCCAAGTTACATAGAGCCAAGTTACATAGAGCCAAGTTACATAGAGCCAAGTTACATAGAGCCAAGTTACATAGAGCCAAGTTACATAGAGCCAAGTTACATAGAGCCAAGTTACATAGAGCCAAGTTACATAGAGCCAAGTTACATAGAGCCAAGTTACATAGAGCCAAGTTAGAGCCATAGAGCCAAGTTACATAGAGCCAAGTTACATAGAGCCAAGTTACATAGAGCCAAGTTACATAGAGCCAAGTAGAGCCAAGTGGCACAGAGCCAAGGTTAGGTAGAGCTTGCGTAGAGCTTCGGCGTAAGCAGCTATGTAAGTTAGTTTAGGTTTCTAAGGCGCCGGGGCGGGAGTTTGATCATCGCTCGGGATTGCGACCCTCTGCGGAGATCCGCGTGGTCGATGTTAAAAAACTGAGGACTTTTTACGATTTCTGCAAGCCGCGCGCGACCCTCTGCGGAGATCGTGCGTGTCGAAGCGCTCTCGCTGTGGCACCGTGCGAATTCTTCTTAGTCTCGGCGAACCCTCTGCGGAGATCGTGCGTGTCGAAGCGCTCTCGCTGTGGCGCCGCGCGATTTTGTTGCTCGTGAAATGGCCTTTGGAAGTTGTCTCGTGGTTTGCGCGCCTGCTTTCGCAATCCCGCGGTCGCGGGTTCGATTCCCCCCTGGTCCGCGGCAGCTCCGGCGGCTTGAAAATCCGGCATCGCTTTTAAGTACAAACGTAGTACGCGGAGCGTGCTCCCGCAGCTCCGGCAAACAGTAGCACTTGCGCAGAGCAACTTCAGAGCACTTACGCGCAGAGCACTTGCACAGACGCTTGCAACTGGCGCAGAGCACTTGCGCAGAGCAACTTGCTCAGAGCACTTGCGCAGAGCAACTTGCACAGAGCACTTGTGTGCAGCAGCTTGCAGAGAGCAACTTGCGCCCAGCAGCCTGGAACAATGCAGCTTGCGCAGACCACTTTCGTGAGAAATCGCGCGGCGCAGTTCGTGCAAAGCACATTGCGCCGAGCAGACTCGTGCAGAGCCAACTTGCACAGAGCCAGTTGCGCAGAGCCACTCGCGATAAGTGGCTTGTGTAGAGCCAACTTTCACAGAGCCAAGCCGCGCAGAGCCATCTTGCACAGAGCTAAGTTGCGCGAGCGTGCTTTGCAGAAACTGTGGCCGTCGTGTAAGCTTTGCTATTGTTTGCTTTTCCTTTTGCTTGTAATTCGTTTCGAGCTTTCGAGCTTCACTCTTCTTTTAACGGATGTAAATATATGGGATCGAGCAGCCATGTTTCCTCTCGTAGGACGATGAGATGGAGCACTCATGTGACCATACACATTGAGCATCGCCGCGTGCAGACACGCTCGCCGCAGCGATGTAAAAAGGTGTCTCCGCGGCTGGATGAGCACCTGGGGAAAAATGCTTTCGGGCCAATCGTCCTCTAGTTTGTTTCTGACGCATGATGAATGCGTCATGACCTGTTGACCTGTCATGAAGTGCAGGATTAGACGCAGCAGGTGATCAACGTTGGTGAGAGTTCTCATTTTTGGTGGCTGTTGTGTGGTTGGGTCGCACGTATGTGCCTCTGGTCCATGCCTCTAGACCTGTGCCTGAGCAAAGCCCTGTGGTAACGCCTTGTGACTGCCCTAACGGGACCGATAGAGCATGATGATCGGAATCTGGGAACATTGGCCGCGGTCTGCCACTGGGTCACTTGGGCCACTTGCTCGCGGAGAAACTAATCGAAGTCTGCCACTCGGGTCACTCCTTGGACTTGTGGGAGCATTAATTGGAAAGTGCCACTTGGGTCACTTGGGTCACTTGGGTCGCTTGGGTAAGTAGTCTTCGGGTAGTCTTCCCGATTTCTTCCCGTCGTGTTTCGGTAGTCTTCGAGGTGCTAAGGTGCATTTTCCAGGGGCCCCAACATGCAACTGTGTACGGCCCCCCAACAGGCCTCTACGACTGCTTTCCTGTGCACAGGGCAGCTTGTATGATTCCCGGACAGGTGCGCTTGGTCGCCTCATTTGGACGAGCTATATTTTGACTGGAATGCAATTGCGCATCCGTGCGATGCTGCATTGGTTTGTTTAGCTGCGGGGATGGCTTGACAAATCGCTTGATAGCCAAGTGATTTTGGGGGCTGCCCCACAATAAGCCAAAATTCAATGGAGAATCACCAGGTGACCAAAACTCACTGGGTTTGCATAGGGGTCACTGAATGCACGGTCCGAGGTGAAGTGAACATGGAGTCTCGAAGTGAGGCAGCAGAGATGGGGACCCGAACGGGTTATGGATGGGTTCCATCGTGCATCCCCGTTTAGGCGTTGGTGCATTGGTGGGACCTGAAATGTAGAGGTTACTGGTGGTTATTCCTGTCCTCCTAATGAATGGTTACGTGTTCCTTTGTGGGGAGGTTGGACAAATTGAATTCGGACGCCCATCAAAGCTCAAGACAACTCATGACACCTCATTGCGCAGCAGGTGCTGTCTGTAATACCCAGCTCACTTCCTATGTTGCTGGATGTGATACCTTTCGGTTCCGATTGACATGGAACCCGACAAACCATCTGTTTAGAGGAATCTCTTTTTTGTGCGACCCCTTTTTGGGTTTCATGTTAATCTGGGGGGATCTAAGCAAAATCATCCACTCCAGAAGCAAGCCATTTCAGCAGCTTGGAGCCCATTTCGAACCCCCTGTGGAGCCAAACTTCTGGTTCGATGATCTGTGCGAATGGGGACGTGGATGTGGTGTTTCCAGTGTTCTCAGGAGTGCAGACGCCCTTTTTAGTGAGCTGTCAACCGTACCAAGCCCTCATCGATTTTTTGTTTCTCCATGGCCACTGGGCATGTAAGCCACACCGCACCCATGACCCTCAAGTCCAGCAGTGTGACAGTGTGTCACACATGGTTGTGGAAGATGGAGTTTTAGAGCCACATGATACCAAGAGAGTCCCCGTTTACATGAGAAAGCAGTAGGGATGGCTTACTCCCAACCATTTGTGACATTCGGCGCACTCAGCGAGGTCGATTGAATCGCAATCGCTAGAGATAGTTCGGCCGCTACAGAAGCAAAGTGGTCGGCCAGACGAGCAAAGCTCGTGGGGGTTGACAGGGATTGCTTTTTGACTTCCATCCCAGGTGCAGACTATAAGATTACCCGACCAAAGACCCAGAGGTTGCCCTTTGGGCAAACCCCTGAAAGTCATTTTGGAAAGTGGAGAAACTCTCCTGGAAAAGGGCAGAACGGTAATCCTGGTAGCTTGGGCAAAAAGACGGTTTTCGGCGACCGGTGTAGAAGGCAAGAGGATTTGAGTTTTTCCTCGGAAAAGAGTCCAAAGGCAACCCTGGCAGCTTCCATTGCGCAGAGGCTGCCTGGCGGAAAAGCATCCAAGGCCATCAAAGCGAGTGGATTTGACCGGACTTCCTCGAGTTTGAACCCATCTTGCTGTTGGCGAATCATTAAACAAGTTAGGCTTTCTGTTGGATGTTTTGAAATGAAGGGCAAACACTTGTCAGCCCTCCCAACCAGAACCCAGCTCTTCAATGCGTTGCTCATGGGTACCTGGACCTGTCAGCTTGAAACTCGCCCCTCTGGGAAGTGGCGCCAAAAGGCCCAGGGATGCCAATCAACCCTTTTAATAGGGCCTTCAGACAACCTTTTTATAAAAGGGGCTACGGCCATGACCCACATAACGAGTTTTGACAAGGGTGCCGAAACACATAGCACCACAAGATCACACGTCTCAAGTCATGTCCCACGGTTTGTGGCTGATGTTTTTGTCAGAATTGGGTGCGCCTTGTGTGTTTTAGGTTGCCCTTTCCGTTGGTTTATTGTTCAAACATGCCAACAGGAGGTGTCCCCGAGTCTAGGTCCTAGGTCCACGTTCAAGCTATACACCACCAGTTTGGGTGAATTATACAACCTCAGGGAAGGTCACCGGTACCATCATATTGGCCCTTGCTGGTCAGTCAGGACGGAGTCGACTCAATTATCTCTTAGGTCCACTGGATACGCAGAAGCAGAAGGCAGCGCTTGTGAAATACCCCCAGCACCAGCACCAGCACAGCTAGCACCACCAGCTCCACCATGTCAAGATCATGCATTCTCACGCTTTGTGACAGCAAGTTTCAAGAAGCGTAGTGCCGAGCTATTGCCTGTGTCAGGTAAGGGGACTGCTTGTAGTTGCTATGGTTGCAGATTTGCAAATCAATCTTGCTTGCTTCATATGCGCAACACACGTTTCTCTTTCATGTGGAATGATCGAAGGTGCTTCACGGCGAACGTTGAAGGTGTGAGGTCTGGACGTGAAAAAATCCCTGGAACCCCGAAATCCCCTTGGCAGGGGTGATGTTAAGGATAAAAGTATGTATATATATAAATATACATATATATATATATATTAGGGAACCCTGCTGGCCGTGTGCTGTGCCAAGGCCTCGACCTTGGTCCAGATCCCGCTGGCCGGCAGCGCTGATGCCAAGGCGAGTCCGCGGGTGCGGGCCGCGGCCCGCGGATTTGTGCGGTGCGCAAACGCGAGTTTGTATGTGTGTGTGTGTGTGCAGCAAGTGTCAGGGCTGTCCAAGTGATTTTGTTCACCCGGTCAGAGCAGGATTGCAAAAAGCCTCATTTAGACGTTCCCCAACAAAGTGTTTCGGATGACCCGGCCTGCAGCCAGCCACTTGCCGATCTCCGCGACCCAGTGTCGCCACCGGGCCTCCGTCACGTGGGCGCCCGTGCTCATTGTTATTGACTCCATGGCACCACCAGCCGTCAAGGCATTGCGCGCCTTCAGTCCTTCTAGAGAGTGCTTTTTGGAACAAACTCCGCTACAAAGAGATACACGTTGTTTGTTTGTTTTTTCTTCGGGCAAGGAACCTCATACGTCTATAGTCTATTGGTAGGGCCACTGAATCGCTGGCAGGAAGATGTAGTGGCGGGTTCGGGGGAGGGTGGGGGTGGTTTCTGCGAAACCTTAATATTGAATATTAGATTGGATTTTTAACCTTGAACTTTTGGAGGAGGTAGCAGCCATCAACTATTTTCTTTGGTGGGCTTTCCTGAGCGACTCGCCATGAACAAGACATCGGTTGTTCTGCCGGCCTTTGGGCAAACAAGTGAGGCACAACAGGAGCAGGGTCTCTGCCACATCATGGATTTGGAACACCTGCAAGCCGCGGCACGTGTAACATCCATCATGAATTGAGAATCACGCACAGGAGAAATCAGGAGAAGACATCACTAAATGAAGCATTGGAGAGCAATAACTGCTAGACCGACTGCATCACCTTACCAAGCGGGGAAACGTCGCTGCTATCATCAGATGATGCAGTGTTGAGATGCAAAGCCAGAGGTCATTGAAGTGGGAGTTGGAGGTAACATCTAGTGTCAACTTCGGATTAATCCCCAGGACCGTGTTAATCAGAGAAAGTGGATTTGAGTGGGTCACGCTTTCTCCACAGCAAACTGGTGGAAAAAGAGATGGACGCCTCAAGTAAATCGTTTGTTTTTGTCAACAAACATGGGGCCCATTCCTGATTCGCAGAGGTACTCTTTATATACGATCTCAAATCCCCCTGAATTGGCATAATTCAAGTATGGTGTGTTGTTTTTTGATGGTACCCTTGTTGGGACTGTTTTCAAAAGAAACCCAAAGGGACACCCACTATTTCGGGTGGTCCCTAGTTTGAGACAAGCACATTATACGTTTTTGTGATTCTGCAGTTGACACAAGCGGCACGTGAGGCCGAAGTGCCCTCGCGACGCGTTCCCGAACATTTCCGGCAGGTGTCGCAGCTGGCGGAGCGGGTCTCGGTGCTGGTGGCAGCACTGCAGAAGCGCTGCGACGAGGACAAAGAGGACGCAACCTGAAAAGCCCAATCCAGCGGGAAAACCAATCCTTAAGTAATATGGCGCCCTTCTTTTTTTGGGGGGGGGGGCTAGAAAAAAGACTGGGCATGTTGCAAATCCGGGATCGTGATCAAAGTTCCAGCGGTGTAAGGACCGCAACCAATAGCTCTGCTACAAATGGGAATTGACTCAGAAAGAACCAACATGGAGCTTTCAGGAGCTGAGATGGGTGTGTCTCAAATAGAGAACCCATGAAGCGGGGGATCGTCGAATAGCAGCATTTTGTTGCCCAACGTGGGTGATCCTTGTCAAGCATGGCTTCAACAAGTTGCCAAAGCACATTGCCCAGGCACATTGAAGGACGATCCGTGGCAGGTCTTGGGTCTCAGAAGTTTCGTTGTCTATTCATTTCACTCAGAGTTGTTTCGCGAAACGGACATTGTTTGTCATTGGAAGGCCCAACACAACAGATCCTTCGTGACAACTCCAAAGTTCATTCTAGTAGGGAGTTCTAGGTATGGCAGTTTGACAACAACCTGGGGCAGACGGTTTGTGACCTCATCCTCGATGCAGGTTCCTTTCAGAGGGAGCGCAGTTTGTTACGTTCCTAATTCGTGGGAACCCAGGATTAAAACATGTTCCTTGATTATTCGGGGGTGTACCATTGTAGAGGGCGTCCTTTGACTTGCAGGAAACCACGGTTCGCCTGTTCCCGCCATGTAATTTCGTCCGGGGTCAACATAGCGAGTAATACTCAGTTGGCACATGCGCCCCAAATTGCGGCCCACCCACTTGCTACTATATCCCGGCCGCCAGCCGAATGCAGCGGAGGAGCTGGAGCAACATGTGGACAAGATCCATGCTCGAGTCGCCCGGGCCCCGGAGTGCTGTGGTGGTTTATTGGGTGCTAAACCACCCATACTGTGGATGGACGAAATCCTGCACCAACAAAGAGGCCCTAGAGGGATGATTCGCCTGTAAATACCAACGAACAATGGTTTCCCATGGTTTCCAAGTGGTGCAGGATTTTGTCCATCCACAGTAGGACATGATTGATTTGTCCACAGCAAAGCCCAAAGGGGGTGGGACCTGAATGAGCAATAGTCCTGCAAATTGAAATCGATAGATCAAGCAAATATCCCTGTATTCTTCACAGGGCAACACAAACAAGCACACAGACACAGACACAGACACAGGCACAGACACAGGCACTGGCACTGGCACAGGCACAGGCACAGGCACAGGCACAGGCACAGGCACAGGCACAGACACAGGCGCAGACACAGGCACAGGCACAGGCACAGGCACAGGCAGAGAAAACTGGCATAGGCACAGGCACAGGCACACTCACAGGCACAGGCACACTCACAGGCACAGACACAGACACAGACACAGGCACAGGCACAGGCACAGGCAGAGGCACAGCCACAGACACAGACACAGGCACTGGCACTGGCACAGGCACACTCACAGGCACAGGCACGCGCAGGCACAAGCACAGACACAGACACAGGCACTGGCACTGGCACAGGCACAGGCACAGGCACACTCACAGGCACAGGCACAGGCACAGCCACAGGCACAGGTACAGGCACAGGCACAGGCACTGGCACAGGCGCAGGCACAGGCACAGGCAGAGACACAGGCACAGACACAGACACAGACACAGACACAGGCACAGGTACAGGCACAGGCACAGGCACACTCACAGGCACAGGCACAGGCACTGGCACAGGCACACACACACACTTCCCAGCAAATGACATGGAGTCCAGGGGGGCCCTCAAAAGGAGATTCCTGCAACATTGAGAGGATTCCCGCTTACACGTGAATGTGCACGAGAATGCCATTGTTTACGGTTGCACAAGGGAGGGAATGGCCCACACGCAATTTGGGAATTTCACCTCGGAAATTGACCACGGCTCCAATGGGTTTGCATCAAAACTGCGGGTCATCCAGATGCTGATTTCTTTCAAACTGTTCCCCAATGGCTCAACAATCCGTTGGCGCCTTTACGCAAACCGTCACATGCCCAAAGTTCCCTGTGTTTTCACCTTGGAGGATCGAGCTCAGGACTAGCTGGGACTAGGTCGGGTTGGGAATTTCTTACAACAGTTGGGGGTGTAGCCCAACTAGTCAAGGGGAGCCAGGCCACTTTTCAGGTCCCTTTTAACGTGCCCTTTTATTTGGGCTGCAAACAGTCACCCTGGACTGACTAGGAGTTGGGAGCCAAAAGGGGTTTGGGATCCGGTGTCAGGTACCATCGTTAACCCCACTGGATTTCTTGTCGAGAGAGGGGGCATACAGCCTCTCAAAGGATACGATTCCAAAGTGCATGGAGAGACCTCCCACAAAGGACACGCCCAGTTGTTCAGTGGCACTCGCTCGCCAACTCTCTTTTGTTTTCTGTCTTCCCCTTCAAGCACGAAATCAACCACAAGGAAGTGGTTCCAGTTCTTTTCCCCAGCTTAGATGGGTGTGGGGTCCTTTTTCCAGGCTCTGTTCGGTGCAGCTTCCTGGGAGGTTCAAGCGAGGCCGGATACCGAGATACCCGGTTTGGCGCCGTGGGTTTTCAGGAGGCGCGGCTGAGCTCTCTGGAGCGGCACGAGGATCCGATTTGATGCGAGCACCGGTCTGAGATGGGGTCAAAGTTGGGCCAAGCTGGGCTGAGATCTTTGGTTTTGGCTATGGCAAAGATTGAATCCATTTGAATCCCGATTGAATCCCTAGGTTCAGGGCGCTGACCAAAGTTGTATTCAAAGTTGGTAGTACAACTGGCCTTTCCCTTTGCCCTGTGGTGGGGCCTTAGGCGTACCTTTGGAGTCTGTGTCACGCCATGGTGAGGACTTTTAGTTTGCAAAATCAAGTCTTGACATACTTTGCGGGAGGACCATTTGGTGGCAATCCAAGATATAAAAAAGCCTGGTGGCAATCAAATTATCAAAAGGTCTAGACTTTTGCTGAACAATCCACTCAGACCTGGGATTTGAGTCTTTTCGACTATCAGTTTCGTCAGGGGCAAAGATGTCTCAGATGCTACCTACCCTTTTGCCAACAGACTTGAAAGTAAACTCTTAGGTCTTCTCTAGAGCATTGTAGTACCCAAAACCTGACATGGTCCACTTTCGCGATTGTTGGAAAAGGCAGAACGTGTTTCATATGTCGGCTCATCTAAACTGAACCACAAACCAAATAAGTTTTCTGTCGGATATCCGGTGAACCAAAAAGCACCCCACAAAGCAGAGGCCCTACTTAAATCTTTCGGATCCAGCACGTCCTCATCCACAATGAACAACGGGCCACGACCCCGTCCGATTGAGACTATCATGGAATGGAACCGTGGAGCAGAATGGTAGGGACACCTCCAACCATTGGCGCAATGTTTCGCTGCCTTGCGTGCACCGAACAATACCAACCTACTTGAGCACCGCTGCCAGGTGATCACATAATTTTAATGTAAGGCCAAAAGAGGATCCATAGGTAACTCAAAATTGTACCTTGGTTGCCAAGCTTAAGACTTCAACATGGCCCCGGAAAGCAAACCGTGCTTTTTCGAGCCCCAAACCTGTTGACCTCCATGTCTTCGGTTTATGAGGCCCAATCCTAAAATCCCAACACACAACATGTTCAATCGAAGTCACCCGTGCACGTTGTGGAGGTTGCTCCAAGGTGATTTGCATGGGATGACCATTAGAGAAAAGAAAAGCATCAGATGATTTTCCCACATGGGAAACGCAACCAATGTTCATTCAGGTTACCCTTAGTTGTTGGTGGTCTGGATTGGTTGGGGGTTTGAAACGCTGGTTCTTGTAGAGGGTAAGTGGGAACCCACCCTTGGACACCAAGCCAAGCCAGCAATCCGAGCCACCTGGGGGGAAGCTGAGTCATGGTGGGGCCGTTGATCACCAGCCAGGAGCCTGCCCTGAACCTCGGCCGCGAGACGGCGGTGCTTCGAGAGGCCGAGTACGGGTGGCCGGTGCTTGGGGATACCGAGGGGTTGGTCCAGGAAAGCCATCATTGAGGTGCGGGTCTAATTTAAACCACGAGGGCACCGCAAACCTTAGTCCTTGGTTCCATTTTCCAGGCATTAGAGTGCCTTTTTTTGAACCCCGCCCATTTACTGGGAGACCAAGGCAAAACCATGATTTTGTTAGCTGATTTAGAAAGGCTGGGGCTGTGTTTGTTTAAGGCTAGGTACCTTTTCAGGCTTGGTAGAAAGGGACCCCAAAGAAAAGCCATTCAGTTTTTGGGCCTCCCCATTTATGACATATAGTGTCTTTGCCGAGGGATCAAGTGTTGCAGTTGCCGAAACGGGTTCTTTATTGAACTGAGCAACGCTTCGGAGGACCCCTTCAGAATCAGCAAGGGAACGGGGGACATGTCTAACCTCAAATGGCTATGAAATTGAATGGAGAACAACCTCAAGCATGAATGGAGAACCACCTCAGGCATGGTGGACATAAGCAAGGCTATGAAGGATGTGAATCACAGGGTCAACAAGCATGGATTCTTATTTTGAAATACGTGTTCTGGGAGTGGGTTTTCGAGCCATGTAGCCTTAGCACAATCCCAACGTGGATTCATTGCAGATGCGGGCTTAATGCTGGCCGGAGCTCCTGGGGTGAGCATGTTTAGAAGGATGGCTGATTCTATTGTCAGCACTGTTGGACGTGCCACCGGTTCTGGGCTCAAAGAAGCAGCAAACCTGGTTGTTGGGAGGTGCCCGGTGGTTATGCTCAAGCATGGTATGTTTTTTAGACGGAAAGGTGAGAGCCCAGCTTCATCCTCCAGCTGGCTCCCACAATTGATCATTGTCGCAAAGGCATGCCTTGGAAAACCATGAAAACGAGGGACTTCTTCCAAGTAGGGTCCAAAATGATGGTGGCAGCCTTGTAAACCAACCTGAAAAGGGTACCTCAAAGAAACGCACACCCATTTGGGGCTGATTTTGGCTGTTCGGAAGTGTTCAACCAGCCAGGCCAGGAGCATGGTGGGAGCCGCCATCGGCGAGGCTGGGGGGTTCGGGCGAAACGCAAGCGACATGCAGGCGATTCGAGATCTTGGGGTCTCCTCCAACAACATGTTACTGTAAACGCTTCACGTTGCCCGCCTCGGCCAGCATGCTTTTGGCTGGCTTTGAGGAGCTGTGTTTTTGTTTGCCTTGAAGTGTTGTGTTTGTTTGAGTGAGTGAGTCGGCACCGACGTGCGTGAGCTGGTTTCCGGCCTGAGCTTCTCGAGGGGAATTGGACCGTAGATGTGAATGGTTTCTGGGGTGGATTTGACCGGTTTGCACGAGGAATTTGGTTGGTTTTTAGGGGGAGTCGGACAGGGGATCTGCTTGATTTCTAGAGTGAATTTGATTGAATTTGACTGGCTTCCAGGCGGAATTTGCCTGGTTTCGGGGGATTGAACCAGATATTTTTTTGGTTTCTAGGGGGAATTTGCCCAGTTTCAATGGGCCGGCTTCAGAGGGGCTGGAGGCAGCTGGAGCACTCAAGGGGTGACTGCTTTCTGGCCGAGGTATTCGTGACCTTAGCCTCATTGGGCCGAAAGCAACGCACAGGGTTCTCACGATTCGTTTGGGTTCGTTCCGTTTCGCGCGCACGTCCGTTTCGGAGTGTTCGATTCGATAGCCCTGAATCGCCGTACGGTTCGGGCGTTTCGTTTCGCAGCCGGTTCCTTGCCAAGGCCCGGTTCGTTTCAATTCGTTTCGATGGGGCTTTGGGGGCCGCTGGTCGCCTCCTCCAATCTTTGGGTGCGCCCTCTCCGCCGCCTCTTCCAACCTTTCCAGGGCCGCCCTTCCAGCCTTCACTGAGCCCGTCGTCCCTCCAACCATTGGGAGTTTAGGGGCCCTCCTAAAACAGCTGGTGTCAAGAAGTCTATCTTCATGATCCCTACATGGAGCGTTCTAATGCGGAGCTCATGAATGGTCCCGACATGGAAGCCCGCTTTGGAAATGAATTCTTACAAGCCTTTCTGTTGCGGCCCCGTACTGGAACCCTTGTTTGCATCTCATCTAAACGGAGAACAACTGAATGCGTCTACTGGATTCTTTGAACGCTCTTTTTTTCGAAAGGGGGGGGGAAAGGCCTGGCCTGTCTCTACAGGGAGTTGAGGATGGTGAGACCTCAGCGGGACAGGTGTTTTACGGGATCCCCTTTTTTTGGGGTTTCAACGAAAAAGAGGACAGAAAACAAACGCATGTTTCTACAGGGAGTTGAGGACGGTGAGACCTCAGCAGGACAAGCTTTTTTCCCTCGACCCCAAAACGCTTTTTGGGGGGCAAAAAACAGAAGACGAAAAATGAACAAAAGTTTCCACAACCCATGGTAAGACCCAAGCAAGAAACCCGACAAGGGAAGAGTTTCGGAAAAGCAAACGCATGTTATTGAAATGGATCTGCTGCTTTGTGGATCTGGTTTTCAACCTTCGCCCCTCCAACCATTCAGGGGTGGGCGGGCCGCCCGTCCAACCTTTGTGGGGGCAGGCCACCTCTACACACAACCTTTCCAGGGCCGCCCTTCCAGCCTTCACTGAGCCGCCTCCGTGTTCCAACCTTCGTCCCTCCAACCATTCAAGGCGGGCGGGGGGGCCGCCCGTGTAACCTTTGTGGGGGCTTCTCCTCGAACCTTTGAAGGGCCACTCCACATGTTCCAACCTTCCAGGGCCGCCCTTCCAGCCTTCACTGAGCCGCCTCCGTCTCCAACCTTTGGGGGCCCACTCCAGGGCCGCCCTTCCGAGCCGCCTGCGTCTTCCAACCTTCGGCAGCAGGCCGCCCGTCCAACCTTTGCGGGGGGCCGCTCCACATGTTCCAACCTTTCCAGGGCCGCCCTTCCAGCCTTCTCTGAGCCGCCTCCGTCTTCCAACCTTTGTCCCTCCAATCAGGCAGGCCGCCCGTCCAACCTTTGGGGCCTTCTCCTCCAACCTTTCTCCGCATGTTCCAACCTTTCCAGGCCCGCCCTTCCAGCCCCGCCCTTCCAGCCTTCACTGAGCCGCCTCCGTCTTCCAACCTTCGTCCAACCAGGCAGCACCTTTGTCCCTCCAACCAGGCAGGCCGCCCGTCCAACCTTTTGGGGCTTCTCCTCCAACCTTTGAGGGCCACTCCAGGGCCGCCCTCCCAGCCTTCACTGAGCCGCCTCCGTCTTCCAACCTTCGTCCCTCTGGGGCCGCTCCACATGTTCCAACCTTTCAGGGCCGCCTTTCCAGCCTTCTCTGAGCCGCCTCCGTCTTCCAACCTTTGTCCCTCCAACCAGGCAGGCCGAACCTTTGGAGGCTTCTCCTCCAACCTTTGAAAGGCAACTCCACATGTTCCAACCTTTCCAGGGCCGCCCTTCCAGCCTTCAAGCCGCCTCCGTCTTCCAACCTTCGTCCCTCCAACCAGGCAGCAGGCCGCCCGTCCAACCTTTGTGGGGGCATGTTCCAACCTTTCCGCACCTGCACAAATGGATTACACCATCATCAAACTTAGACACGGCTGTTTCGCCCTTCTGGGTTTCCCACGTTTGCCTTTTTAACCAACAAAGAGTTCACGTTGCAGGGGTCCACCCGTCTGGCCAAGTTGCAAAATAAGAACCGGATACACCCCACCAAGGCCAGTGGCGCCCTTCCTTCCTTAGTCTTGGAGGGGTCCCTCTAAAATCAGCTACCAAAAAGGGCATTTTTTTCTTGTGGCCAGCGGGGGTGTGCGGGGTGTGAGCTGACTTCTCATCTCCAACACCCAAAACGAGGTGCAGAATGCGTGGCGCCAAGAGATGGCAGAGCAGAGGAGGCACGTGGAGGCCGGGGGTTCGAAATGAAAAGGGCGTAGAAGCTGGAGACAGCCAACCCACTGGCTTGATGACGACAATATTGATGATGATGATGATGATGATGATGATGATGATGATGATGATGATGATGATGATGATGATGATGATGATGATGATGATGATGATGATGATGATGATGATGATGATGATGATGATGATGATGATGATGATGATGATGATGATGATGTATGACATTCTCAATCTCGTTTTGTTTGGTGGCTTCCCCGCACAAAAGCAATATAACAATGGTCAAGCGCGAAGGGGGCTCCTTGGTCTACCAGGCTCGCCATCAGGTATCCTCGAACCAACTGACATGGAGCAATAACTCGGGGATTTCTGATTTGGGCCATTCTCCTCTAAGAGGTGCCCGCTGGTAGGTTCCATGTTAATTGGTAGAACCCCAAAACCTCGAATCAAGTAACCTTCGAACCGTCAATCCAAGCCACCGAGTAAAACTTGGCTGAGGCATGCATCCTTCAACAGCCGCTGAAAAGGTCCCGATTTGGGACGCATCCTTGTGATGAAAGGAGCCATGCATGATACTCAAGGCTTCCTCAGTCCAGGGGTTCCCTTTGGTGTGAATGCTTTGTGTGGTCAATCAGAAACTTCCATCAGTCGACCGTTGCACCTTGACAGTGTTTGTTTTCAACTAGCTGGCGTTCAGGGAGTTACGACAAACCAACAAGCTAATGAGGAAATCGGACGCCTTCATTCCCTATATGAAACCAAGCGGTTGAAGGGGGAGACATGGCCACCCTCTCCCGCAAAGACCAGGGGTCATCGAAATCTTCAATGCCTCCTTTGGGAAGAATATTTTATATGTTCATACTCCGCTTCCCGAAAGGGGTATAGACCTTTTATAAAGTGGGAGTAACTGGGGAAGCCAATGGGTATGAACAACCGGGTTAAACAGCCCAAAGTTTTCTAATGATTGAGCAATCATGCTTTGTGTTTTTTACCAGACCCCCCCACGACCAGGGGTGAGTACTTCCATGGAGATATCAACCCCTGCCGCGGAGCGAGCCACTCGCAGTTGGGCAGGAGCTGAACGAAACTTCCCGCCAGAGCCACGCGCGCTTGGAGAAGGCGGGGGAGGTGCCATGTCCTTTGTAGCTTAGTTTGATTAGAAATAAATGGCACTGGTTCAGACTGCTTTTACAACAAGAAGGGCCATCAATTGTTCCGAAAGGTCACCTATGCTTGGGTCTTTCACCATTGTTTGTGTACAACAACATGTCTGCACACACATCTCAATAGTTACATTGCCATTATATATATATATATATATAGACATACTATCTATATACATATATACATGCACATACATATACATGTGTGGGTGCTCGCGAGCATGGACACATTGTCTACAATTACATGCAGGTACATGTAGATACAACCAAACTAATTTGACGAGCTGGATTCCACAAATTTCTCCATCATCCAGGGCCTTAACGACTCCCAGACACAGCAGTCAAAACCTGGGCGGCCTGTCTATTTTTGAGGCTCGGTGCCCTTATTGGGAGTTCCCATCCGGCAACGGCTTTTGGGGCAGTTCCTGAATTGAATTCTATGGCCTCTCTGCATGGGTGTGCTTTGTCTTTTTGGGGATCCTTTTTGGTTTAAAAGTGAAACCAAAGGCGCAGAAACCATCTTGAGGGGGTTCTCATTCTGAAACAAACCCACAAGCCATTTTGCAAGGCCCGGCCAATGACAGGCTTGATTCGCGACCCAGCGACAGCCAGTTTGGGTTTCGCGCTCGAGGTCCGGGGAGGTTCCAGGGATACTCCGCTGTTCGGACAGGCGGAGCGCTCGATGTCCATGCAGGAGCTTCTTGGTTCAAATGGATGGGACGCGCAATTCAGGGCAACAGCGCCCAATATCAGCTTCGGAGTAATCCGGAGGACCCCGAAGTACTCACGGGTGATTCCCCTTTGAGGCTGAGTGGGGAATAACCCACATAATTTTTTGGGGGGGAGGGCTTGACTTAGTGTGCCACAGATTAGTTTGTTTTTGACATTACTTCTTCACAACTTGTGGCTTGACTTACTGAGAATCGAGGGTGCTGTCAGCAGCTGTTAAGCCATTCCAACCTGACTCCTTGTTGATTTGGAAAGAACCGATGCGTCTGGGAGCAACGCCGTGTCAACGATCAGTGGATAGCCAACAGCTCTGTTTTGTTCCCTGTTTTTTACTCTGGTTGATTGGTCGGTCCCCGTCAAGCTGTTGGATTCCTTTATCTTTGAGAGCTCTTGAAATGACCAGGATTGTTATCAGGCTTCATGCTGAATCCTGACACCTGATGTGTCGATGCTCCATGGTCAAGGAGATACAACGAGTACATCGGCCAGTATCACTAATCCCAAGGTGATATGGAATTTGGCTCCAAAGATATCTGGCGACGCAGGACTTTTCCTTCACCACGCCACCCTGCGCCTCACAACGCTAAACCTTGCCACTCCACTCCATCCCCTTGACTCTGCTCAGCTCCGCTCCACTCCACTCCACTCCACTCTCATTTGCACCCACTACGTGAGCTCACTGGGCAAACACAGCTGAAGTAGTGATGAAGGTGCGTCTTTCATCTTAAGTTGGCGAGTTGCCCAATGCCGACATTCTCCCCCAGCACAGCCAGTGGCACCACACAAGTACCGCATCAACATTTCGGACCATTTTACATCTTTGCCCATGACTAACATAATGAACAAAGAACAGATTTGCCTGTGTTGGTTTGTTTGTTTTTTCCCCGAGCTTTTTAGCTGGCCTTAAAGGGAAACCTACAGAAATACCGCAATTTGCGGGCAGCCCTATTTTAAGACGCACCCATTTCAATCCTAGGGTAGGGGTGAACGTTGACCACGAGTAAAGTGATGTAATTTCGACGTGCCATGGCCGCTTAAGCGAGGCGAGGGCTGCGCCGTGTGGAGGAGAACTTGCAGGCGTGGGCTCGGGTTGTTTCTGTTTCGGCTACGAGAGCTTCTCAAAGTGGATTTGGGATCCGCTTTCGATTGGTATTTAAAGGGAACTACAGGAAGCAAACCATTCTAGGGACCGATTTCTATTTTGACAAGCACCCCGCCCCCAACTATGCGTGGGGTCAAGCCATGTCAAGCCTAGGACTGATCCAGAATGGTTTTCATAATGATTCATATGGCTTGGGGCTCCTCAGAAGGGAAAACGGGAAAACAATGCATTCTGACAAAGAACGTGCTGCTGCTTTCATCATGGTTTCATCACTGTGGTATTCTGGATTTGGCGAAACACACACACACACATTTGGGTTTGGGTGTGTCTCAAAATTCGGGTAATCCCTTTAATTGTGTTGTTTTGCATATTTCCCCTTCAAACCAATCCACAAAAGGTGCCCTAAAACAATCGACACGCCCGTTGGACTTGAAGCTCTCGCTTTTCGACAGGCGGTGGCCTCCATGCAGGAGACGCCCCAATGGTTTGTGCAGCTCGAAGGCGGTTTGCTGGGGCAGGATCCCGCGGTTGGGCTAAGTGACGGCCAAACGGCAAAATATTCTCAAACATCCAGAAGGGTCCAACTATTGCATGATGCACTGCATGTTTGGATTTTGCAAGCATCGTCCTTTATTGGGCTTTATGCTGTAATTTTATACATCGCTTGGCGCGCGCATGTTCACCGACATCAGGAGTTGAACAGAGATCAACATGTGTGCCATGCATTGAGCTTCTGCTGGTAGACTTGTCGAAGCTGACTCTTTTGCAACCGTGGTGTTGGAGTAGCTTCATGCGGGGTTCTCATTCCGGCTGCTGGGATGAATACATAGTATAAATGCATGAACAAATATACACAGTTATATGTACGACTACATGTCATGTGTATTTACGTGTATGCATGAATACATGTACATGTACATATGTGTGTATATATATATACAGACACATGCGCATGTACGCATGCGTTTGGAATTGACTGGGAGTCAAAGCCATACTTCGGTGCGAAGCAGGTGCCATGAACAACCTGGAGCGGCAGGTGAACGAGCAGCAGGTGGCAGTTGAGGCACCAGACGACCGATAGATTAGATGTGGCTGGGTGCATAATGAAACCACACTTCGCGTCCGTCGGGCAGCATATTTGGTCAAGTGGGGAGGGGCATGGGGCTCACTAAAGTTCCCCATACCACCAGGGGGCCTGCATTACGGTAACATGTGTTGGCTCGTTTTGACTGCGATGGGCCTAAGCCTTGCCATTCAAAAAGAAGCCGCGAGAACCTTCACACTTTTTACACCCTAGATTGGGGGCCTCAGGGATGTGGGAATTCAGTTCGGTGATTTGTTTGGTTGCCCATTTTTGTCCGACCGCTTGTTTGAGAAGCCCTCATATGAGGCGCCTTTGCGCGGTGGCTTGGTTCAAGCCTGACAAGCCTTTTCTCGGAATCTCATCTCTGAACAGAGATCGCCACTGCCAGGTTCAAGTTGCGCGGCTTCAGGCGGGTAGAGACAGAGCGCTTGTCAGGAAATCAGCGGACTCCGGTTTGTATTTGAGCAGAGAACGCAGCTAAAGAGCAGCTGGTGTTGTTTTTCATATATCATGCGACAGGAAGGGAAGTCTTAAATTTGAGCAGTTTGCGCTGCCTCAATCCATTACACGCCGTGTATATGAGAGTCTGTTTGTTCAGCATGCCGCTGCGAGGTTTGGGTCAAGCGCTGTTTATGTGACGGCTTGAGACACCTTCAACTTGCGTTTACCTCACTCAAAGTCTGAAGCTATGCACCCACGAATAAACCGCGCCAAAGGTGGCCGTAGGCCAATCAAGCCAGTCCTACTGTTTCAGCGGGCAAGCCAGAGAGAGTCTCTTGTCGGGGGCTCACATATTATATATAGAAGGGCCGTCGTTTTACATCGCCGATTCGCGATCATTTTGCAACACAAGGAATTCCACCATGATTTTACACGACACGGACACGACTAGCGACAATGTCTTAACACATCGATCTCAGTCTCCGATCATTTTCTGAAACATGGGCCGACACCTCTATCTTTTGACAACACACAGACCGAAATCGCGATCATGTTGCAACACTTTGGCTCACAACTGGCCATCATTTTGCAGCACACGGATATTAAGGGCGATCATTTTCCAACACAAAGACCAAATCAGTACTCTGCTACTTGCGGTTGGCCTCTGCCATCGCCAGGTGGAGTGCGATGGCTTGCGGCGCCGCGCCGAGATGCTCGGAGGCATGCGGGAGGAGCTGATGCAGGCAGGGAAGGGTGAAATCCTCTGACTTGGAAGCACTTTTTTCATTCTAGCTACCTCATAGTGTTCGCCTGATACATATGTTTACTTGGAACCGCACAAAATGCGAGGGGATGTTGACTCTTGGTATCTCTTAGAGCTCCCTACACAGTTTTTCTCAAGTTTCACAGCAGGTCCCTGCTTCAATCCATGCAAAGCGGCCGGAGACAACCAGACAAGGGGGTTCTCAAAATTGCAGAAAGCAAAAAGATAGTAAACAATGTTAAAAGGGGTTCCATTTTGAGAGACGCCCATGAAGTAGATGTTTTCCTCCGATCACTTTTTGTTTGCTTTCTGTTTGAAGCTGTCACCTGGCTGAGTGAGCCTGTGGCGAATTGCCCCGGCAGCATGAAACAGTGCAGAAGTTCGGAGCGGAATGCCTGACTATGTCTACCTGCAAGCATGACTGGGGGTAGAAGGGCCTTTCTCCATGGAACTCTGCGGCCGTGAACGAAATTCCACCCGTTGCTACTTTTTCTTGAGCGGGGGGGTCCCTTTTTAATCAGCATTAACCTAAAAAGGGAGGTCCTTTTCGTCTATGGCCACTGGACTGAGACAGCATTGCACCAGTTTGCCCCCACCCTCCCTTGCACGATGGCCAGCTTCTTGCAGCCAGGCTATGGAGGAACGAGTGGCATCTTAGATGCAGTCAGGAGGCTCCCTATATTTCCTTTTGAAACACACCAAAAGGAAACTCGCTTTAGATGAGTCCAAAAAGCGAAGTTTGGATCCAACAAAGGGCAGATCTCGGGGATTTGTGTGTTTTTCCCTTCCAGCGACAGCTATGGGGTCTTGCCAACTGTGGCAACCCTGCGGGTTCCCAGCATGGGGGGGTTGGGACTACACTCCTTGGGTGCATGTTTGCTTTTCGCTCTGTTTGCCGAGCTACCTACTAAGATTTTGACAACCCTTAATAGATATAGTTGGTTTGGAATGGTGGTTTGGGCGTTTGAGCCCCCCCTGGCTTTCGCAGAGGGTACTCCTGACTCCCAACTCCTAACTTTCAATCCACAATTCCAAACCGCCAAGCAGAGCGAAGCTGACACGAAGATTTAGTAGGATGGTGATCCTCACGCTCTAGAAGCGAGCTCGGTAGATGCACGCGGGCACAGTTAAAAAACACTTGGTACGCGTGTTATAATGATGGATTGCAATCAGAGCATTTGTTGCCCATGTGATCTAAATCAGATTGAGGTTCAGGTGTGCAGCCTTTGTTTGCTTGTACAAGAGGAGATCCCGCCAGTCTGCATTCTTAGAAGGGCAGGACAAGATTGTTTGTGTTGCTACCTTCCACGGGTCCCAAAGATAGAAGTCCACAGGCCCACTTTCCTTTTGGGAAAGGGGGTCAGTGCAGTTCCATGTTTGGTGGCTGGGTAGCAGGTAGCTGACATGCACATGTTTGGGCACACGCCGTCTCCCGACAACTGGATAAGTGTCCAGTTTGATTCAATGAATGACTGGCAGCGCTGTCTACCCTCAAAGTTCGGCGCAGACGTGCGCCCCGCGCCATGCTTCCGTGTCGACCCCGCAGAGTAACATTATTAGTATGGTTCTTGTTGTTGAGAACTAGTAGCGGTTATGGCCTAAAAGTGTAGGTTTCCTCTTGCAGGGCAGGTATGCCAGCCTGTTTCGGGCGTCAAAGGAACACCGTGTTGGATGCCGGGGTCGTTTTGCCAAGGCGGCGACCGCCAGGACGCCTGCAGCGCCGGCTCGAGAAGAGAGGCCTCCGTTTTTTTCGAGGGTCTATCTAGAAAACCCAAAATTGTTTGTGGTCTCCCTTTAAGCCAACCACAAAAAGGGTACCCGCAAACAACACAATATTTTAATTTTGCACCAGTCTAAACAGCACCTTTTGGACCGAGGGTAGCTGATGCTCTGGGGTGATGCAGGCGATGTAGGAAAAGCATCAGTTTTTTAAGGCAACCTTGAGCAGGTCAAGTCGTTGCAGTTGGCCTTTGGAAAGGCGTTTTGTGCACCAAGCCAGCCCATGTGGGAGGGTGGAAAGGATAATACAAAGGGGCTGAACAAGGAAGTCTATATGTTCATGATCATAGCAATTTGGTTCTCCAGGCCCCCCACAAGCCCATTCTAACTATATATTACAAGGGGCGAACCAGTTACAATCTCATCTCCTGTAATTGTAGTGACTAGATCTGGAAATGTACTACAAGCCCCTCCCACTTAAGCCCTTACTAGGCCCGTATTTGGCGCCAACTCACTTTTTGGAGGCGACGCCCTACATGTGCCAGGTACGCCATGCTGGCGCGGCGCTGTGATGAGCTGGAAGCCAAGATGGCTGCGCAGAAGGCGATGGGCTTCCCTGCGAGGCTTCCCTTGGGTGTACCCTAAATCCCCTTTGCGTTGCTTTTCAAAGGGAAACCCAAAGGGGAAAAACATGTTTGGGCCAGATCGCTTCATGTTTTCAAACTTCGTCCGATATTTTCGCTATCTACCAACAAAACTGGAGGTTTGGATGCTGGCTGTTGGTGACCGCAATGGAACCTTTATGGTGTGCTTCAAAACAGGCATGACTCAAATCGACCGGTCCGCAAGTCGAGAGAACACAACTTTCTGCATTGCTGTCCTCGGCCAATATCGTGTTAAAGGGTCTCTGTTTTGCTGCTCGCTTTTGTTTTTCCCGACACCAAGCAGAAAATAGAGTGTAAAACAAAACAGGTCAGGTTTAGAATAATCAGATTCGACCTTCCCCTTGGAAAATTGTAGCCCCAAATTGATCGCCGGTTTTCTCCCAGGCGATTTGCAACGAGTTTCGGCAACCTCCCCCCCCCTTCGCAATTCAACATTGAAGACTGGAGCAAATGGGTACGCTCGCAGAAATGGTTGGGTTCCGTTTAGGTTCCCCCTGTAAACACGTTCCGAGAAAGGTCCTGATTTTTGGACACCTGACATGAGCCCAGTCCACTATCCCCAAGCCCCCACCCCAAGAGGGAAATGACGCATACACCCATTTCTCAACCATACATAAAGCTTATATCACCCCCTCCGCCAGGTCTCTTGGAAGTAGTGGTCTGGTAGTGGATTAGTTAGGTTGGACGGACACTGGATCGGCATTTTTCGGCCTTCCGGAACCAGTCCTCAGAGAACGGTTGGGAAAACTCAGTGGCCATGTCATGGTGGCTGGGGGGGGTGCCGGGATGTTTTTGTCACATTTCTCCACATACCAGGAACATCCCCCGAACGCAAAAAGCTGCAGGTGCACGTAGAGAGCCACGAGCAGCGCTTCGGCAGCCTCGCCGAGCGCTTGGAGGTGCCCTGTGTTTTGTCCGTTGTTTTTTTAGCTTCGCAGTGGCCGAGCTCCACAGGGTTCCGTTTGTTGATCCCAGGGTGAAACATTGGAAACCAGCTTGTGTTTGGCTGAAGTCATCCATTAAACAATCAGGATGGATGGCTTCCCTTTGGCATTGGGGGGCTATGTGGGGCTTTCGTACAAGTGTAAGTTTGATGTTTCCCTTAAACACAAATAGCACGTGCCTTTGTTTGTTGTGTTTTTTTACCTATTTCTGGGCCGTAGTCCACACTCCCTTTCAGCCATATTACATCAAGTGAGTACATGCCTCGCCGCTGTTCAGAACCCAGCCTCTCATGAGCATTTGTGGGCAAAGGTTATGAAATGAATGACACACACACACACAGGCACATTTGTGAGGGCGGTGTTTTTATCGCTTTTTGAGAGGAAATTCCCAGTTCTCACAGTACGAGACACCCCCAGACAAATCCACCACAAGCATCAGGTAATGCCCATATGCAGATCCCAGTCCTAGTTTGGTCCTAGTCCTAGTTGAGAGATCCTTGGTTCCAGTCCTAGATGGCAAGTCATGAACTATAGCGCGAAAAGGTAGGTTCTTGGGGGGGGGGGGGTAGCATGTATTCTTATATGTTTGTCACATATATATATGTATATGTATATATATATATATATGTATATATACACATATAGATATGTTCATATGCACTTGTTTGGTCAACTGCGGCATAAATACGTATTCCTTTGTTTTGCCAGGGGCACTCTAGCCACCGAATCGGTTTCCCTCTTTCCAATCACGAAAGTGCAGAGAAGGGCTTTGGACGACTACCATCATCCTGAAAAGGCGTCCTGTCCACTTCCATGATTCTTGGAAAGAGGTGGCACGGAAAATGAGACAGAAAGAGAGAGTTCCGCCCCTCCCATGTGAAGGTAATATAGCAGGAATTAATTTAGTTGAATAATACCACACAAACCCCATGTCTTGAACCTTTTCGGCCGTTAGTTCTTTTTTCCCCCTCAAAAGCTGTGTTTTTCCTTTTGATTTCCCTTGATCGCAGTCTGCCGTCGGCCTTGGCCAGGCGCAGCAGCAGGAGGCCTTGGATCAGAACCGGCACCAGCAGAGCCAGCGGCGCGAGGAGCTGCTGCAGGAGGCGTTTGTCGAACTCGGCGAGACTCGGTGCGGTCGGGGCCGGGGGCTTTGGGGCTTTGGGGCTTTGGGGCTTTGGGGCTTTGGGGCTTTGGGGCTTTGGGGCTTTGGGGCTTTGGGGCTTTGGGGCACGTTGAGGATTAGAACCAACCTGAAAAACCCGGGGGAAACTCAGCCAAACATGTTCCAAGATGCAGAACCTTGGGATGGATTATGCGGCTATTTCGAGGTTTCTACCCTGCGAAAACCAAGCGCGATCGCCCCAAACATGTTACGCTCCACTCCTTTCGAAGCTGAGCGCCTTCAACGGGCTTTGGGATCTGTAGTTGGGAAACCATGTTCTGCCAAAGCTGTCAACCTCAGAATGTTGCAGGCGTCGGCCTCGCAATGTTTGGATATTTGGCTTGAATTCATCCCAGCGCTTTGGCCCTTTGTGCAAGCCAACCGCAGGTGGATTGCCAGATGCGGGTGATGCGGCAGCGCATGGACACCCTCAGTGAGCTCTGCGATGAGCTCATGATGCGGCAGGCGGGAACGGGCACAAGCAGAGGGCAGGCTGAATTGCAGATAAGCAACTGGCCAAAAATACTGGATAGCCTATTGCTAGTTGGAGGAGATATAGGAAACCGACCCATGTTTTCCACAAAAATTCACCCACCACTTGGGGAAATACTCCAGTTGTTTGTCCGAGGCTGAGCTGTGCTGGATGCATTCTAGCAACCACACAAGTGGACAAGGAGCCTTTTCAAGAGCATGCAAGTCTTCTAAAGCTCTCCTGTGCGGTTCGAAGCAGCCAAGAAATAAAGAATGGGACAAGCTTCCTTCTTTGGGACCCCCTGTTGGGTTCCATCTTTATCAAATTTGCAGGGGAATATTTGGGGCGGCTGCGTTCATGTGTATGTGTCAACCTAAGGACCCCCTCCAAGCTGTTGGTATCATGGTGGTTCTGATTACAATGTGTCCTAACCCGTTCCTCCTCCAGACCACTTCCGATTGCCCTCTCCCCTTGTTGCTTAGAAGTGTTCCACAGGGATGCCTTGGATTGATGCCTACTTCTGTCCAGCAATTATATCCTCTAACGCAGGCACGCGCGCACACACACACACACACACACCAGTCCGAGTTTTGCAACAACGGGGCATCCTCATTTCCCCGCATGACCATCATTTTGGTGGGAGCACAAGCGGATGGAGTCTTCGGACCATGCAGGTCATCCTAGGCTCAAAGGGCATGCGGACATTTATCTCTTCTTGGTGGGAAATGGGATTGGCCTTAGAGATGCTTTCAGGACTGTACGGGTGTCTGCATTTCTCGTTCAATCACAACGGGTTGCGCATTCCAATCATTCAAATACAGGCTTTCACGGCGTTTCAGGGATGGGATGACCCCTTCAGCCACAAATTGTCAACTTGTGATTCCCCGAACATTCGAATACTTTTTTGGGATGGCAAAGACACCCAACTTGATTCCAATTTCGCACACATGCGGATGACTATGTTTATTCTTCTGAAATGCATCGCTCCGACAAGATCTCTCATTAATTGGAGGGGGCTAAAAGGGGTACTTATTCTGCAGCGTGAGAGAGACCGATTTGTTGCTGCGCTTGTGGCTGGCTCTCTGGTCGCAGCATATCCTTGTGGACGTCTTGGCCACTTGCAACACATTGGGAGGCATCATGTGGGTCTGACTCAAAATATTGACCCCTTTGTGGATCGACCGGGCAATCATTGGGAACCCTCCCCCCATTTGGCGGATGACACAAAGTTCCACTGCCAGGTTTCCGACTCTGGACGCAAAGGCAAGGGGCTGGGCTGAAGGAAATCTGGGACTCCAATCCTAGCTGAAAGCGGGGTTTCGGAAGACAACTTCCCTTGGGAAGTTGTTTGTCCACTTTGATCGCAGGCCAACACAAGGCGCCTTTGTTTCATGGCTCGGTTTGTTGTTTGTTTTTGAAAGAACGATTTGAAACAGAGCAACCAGAGTTGTTCAACCCCGGAGTTTTGGCCAGAAGGTTTTCGCACGGTGGCAAGCAAATGGGAACCCAGCTCAAAGCTGGTTGATTCAATCCCCCCCACTTGGAAGCAAATTGTCCTGCAATATGTGCGGTTGCCGTGTGGTACAAAGGAGTTTTGAGCAAAAGTCCCTCGAGCCATTGCACCTAGATTTCTGGCTCACCATGGCATGGCAATTCCAGGACATGGCCGCAACCCATACACACCCCACACCCCCACACACCCCACACCCCACAACCCGCCCCCCTGCCTACACACACACACAGAAATAACCTCTATTTCTAAATCTAGCTGCGTGTTCCAACGCCGATATGTTTCCCGAGAAAAATGCGAGTTCTTCGTTGGCCAAAGGCTGCACGTTTGCTCCTTGGCCCCCTGCTTTGCTTTTGAAGGTGCGTTTCTTTGATCTCAGACACACATACCAACACACTCACATACCCGTACACCCACACACCTTCACACACCCACACACATACTCACACTCCACACCTACACCCACCCACACACCACACACACACACACACCAACACCAGCACCAAACACCAAACCCCAACTCCACAAAGGGCACACCAACACAACCCACACACACACACAAATAGGTCCCAAAAGGGCCACGTCGCCTGCAGTCCTTGGTTCGCCTCAGGCCGTGGCCAGGAGCGGTACAGAGACCCGAGGGCCACAATGCCGGTGCTAAGGGAGGAAGGCTAGAGCCGCCCTCAGTCGCATCTACTTCGCCGGCGGGGTCGGCGCAAAGCTCATCCGCCCCAAACATCCCCAAAGAAGTCCTAAATGTGCCTCCCCACTAAACTTACCCATAAACCTATCCTAAGCCTGCCCTGCACCTACCCCAAACCCACCACCTCAATTTGGGGGCGCCTTTTGACACGCTTGGTTGAACATTTGAAGGGAGCTAAAAGCGTAGAATCCCCTCAGTTGCCCTCCCACCACGTTGCCATGGAACCTGACAAACGGGACGGTCCTCGTTTGGACAATGTTGCTAAAGGGGTGCGTTGGTGGGAAGCGGGTAAGGGTCAAGTGTTTCTTTTTTTTGCGGGCACCGTGTTGTTTGTGGTTTTAAAGGAAAAGGAAAGCCACCATTCTGGGGGTCCCCTCCAGAAAACGCACACCCAGGTCTTTCTCTGGAGTGCGAAATCTTTGCCTGGAGTTTTGCCTATCTGGTGAGCGTTCTGTGTCTAATCTGGAGGTGCGTTGCAAAAAGGGGTCTAACCGTCACTAGGCTATCTGGCAGCTATTGAGACCATACGTCCACTAGCGGGAAAACTCAATTACTGCAACCCTCCCTCCCTCCCTCCCTCCCTCCCTCCCTCCCTCCCTCCCGCCCTCCTTCCCCGTTCCTCGGTGCTGATGTGTTTGCAGCCAATACGAGATAGTACTTAATCAACGTGAGCCCTGCTACCCTTTCGATTTGTTGATTCGATGATGAGCGGGGAAGGGCAACTTGTCATCACTCCCCCACCTTCGCACCAGCTCATGATCCCATGTGTCCAAATAGGGCGACCCCAAAATGGCTTCGCTGTCTTATTTGGTTTCCCATTAAACCAACCCCGCCGCCCCCCCAAATTACACTGAAATAAATCACCCATTTGGAAGCACACCAAATCTCTAGTTCAGATTCGAGGATTCAGGGCCGCAGGCCTCACTTGGGTTGGGATGCGATTGGAGGTGCTTCACCTCGTAACAGTAACAGCGGGCGCCAAAGCGCGCCCTTCCGAGCTCGTCAGGCGCTCGCTTCTCGGAAGCAGCGACTTGGTCGAGCTGTAAGTTTGAGTAATGCACCTGTGCCTGAGGCTGTGACTAGGGAGGGAGCAGAGAAAAGGGCTGGGGTTCCACTGCTTATTCAAGACTGAACTCTTTGGGTGAACTATGTTGTGCTTTTGTTCCAACACTGTTTGCCAACCCGCTTCTGGCCTGGTAAGAGCTCACAGTTTCGGCAGTGCTGTGTTTTGAGAGATTACTGGGGCGGTTAGATGCGCGATGCGCATTTTGAATCTCGCCCAAGAAACTAAGGTCCCAGGAGGTGTTGTATCTGACATGTTGAAAGCCAAAGCCGTCATGTTGCACATACAACTTGCGTGAAGGAGCCGCGGGGCCATAGAAAAGCGTCACAGCCTTCGGTGCATATTCCGAGCCTTGGCAGTGACTCAGTACGGTCAGGATGTCAGGACCACTAAGTGTTGGTTTTGTTGGTTTGCCTTTTTTTTTCGCGTGAAAATCAGCATCCCTCAGCCCTAGTTTTGGTCCCCCAGAAAGTATCTGGGAGTTATCTGGCAATCACGCAACGCGCAGATGTTCCTGCTCGCAGCAGGCTTGTTGCCATGACGGTTTCTGTTGAAGCGCCATCCAACAACGGGTACACTTGAGAACCTTGTACACCTCTAGGAGCCCATCATTTTGAGAGGATAACGGATCAACCCTTTTCAGGCAGTTTGGCTTCATGCGGCCGCCGCTAAGTCACCGGTCAAAGCGTAAAATGATGAACTACTCTGAGGCACTCATCCCAGGCGCTCAGCGGCCGAATGATCTGGAAATGATGCGACAGATTCGAAAAGAGCGGGACTTGTTGGTGTTTTCAACTCCAGGCCTGTATTGACCCCCCCCATTTTCTCCTGATAGCGTCCAGCCGGAACTTTTTCGTGCGCTCAAAAGGTAAGTGAGCTCATGAGGGCCTTCCCCGATTTTGTTTAGGTGTACTTTTTCATACCTGTTTCCCCTGCCCTTCTTCATGTTGGCATCAGCCCTTTGGGAGCAAGTCATGTTAATAATCATTTGTTGGACCAATGCGAGGCGATCTCCTTCTGGCGGGTTGCTCGCAAGATAACGACATGAGGCCCCAGCCCCCGGAACGGTTTGTAGAACTGTTCGATCAGAACCCCTAAGACGCTTCCTTTCGAGTCTTTTTCTGGGCCCATTCGGTTTTTACATGGCCAGGAGGAGGCCGGACCCGATGGTTTTAAGTACCTGCTCTCCATGAAGATGTGGTCCCTCACGGAGAACAAGGTCGAGGACTGGGGGCTAGAGATGCGGCAAGCTTTGCCGGTTGGTTTCAAAGTCTTCACGGGTGTATTGAACATTTGTATTACCCATGAACTTGATGTTGGGTACCTGAAGAAATTGTAAGGCTCTGTGAGCTTCTATTAATATTAATATTTGTTTTGTCATGGGGTCCGCGGAGCAAACTTAACGTGGTCCAAGAAGGTGAGCCACTGGAATGGGGCAAGCGAGCACATCATACGTCGATGGGCTGTAGAAAGCAACAATCAGGCAGCGCAACTCGTGCTAACTGATTGTATCCCACTAAAAAAATAGAGTGGGGTTGTGGGGTACTATTGAACCAACCTTGTGACTCATGATCATAGGATCATGTGTAATTATTTGGCTCTTTATACCCAGTTGCACAGTGACCTTGGCAGAAAAAGAAAAACCGACTCTTTGGGGACCCACACAGAAGAAAGGGGTTGACCACTTTGAGTCAGGCACTCCTGAAGCGGAGCGAGAGAAAGGGTGCCACTGAACTAATTACAAGGGGTAGATTGGGAGTGCAGTCAAACGGCATACTCGCACTTCGGTCAACAGCTGTCCAAGGGCCATTCCTTGGGTCTCCTCTAAAACTTGTTATTCTTTTTTGCGGGCCTGATTCAGACTAAGTATCAAACAGAGTCAAACATTACTGAAATCGCTACGCGATCCGCCGACGCCAGTGGGGTGCAAGGGATTTTAAGATCTTTTTAATTTGTTTCATGGAAGTGATGGGGATGCTGGACATGCAAGGGATGCAACCACACGTACAGGAACAGACCCAATCTTCGCATCCAAAATTTCAAGACTTTCAGACACGCAAAATTGACCAAACACAGAAAATACCAGAGATGTCGGGAATGCTGGGAATGCAGCCGGCTGGCCACAAACAAGTGCAAAAAAACATGGTTTTTGGATATTCCCCAAAATCAACCATCAAAAGCAGATACTAGCAACCCCCCTCAAATACCATAAAAATAGACTTCCAAAAGCACGATAATGCAGGGGATGTTTCGCAGTAGCTGCTCTGTACAGGTGGGGAATTGCAAAAAACACTCATTTTTGCAAATTCAATCAGTTCCTCAACGCATCACTTCACTTGGCCCCACCCAGACCCCTAACATGCCAATTCCAACATCGCTTGGAACAGCAAAAGACCATTTGTATCTGCAAAAAGAGACAAATTCATGGCAGCAAGATAATCCTGATGATGCCGGGGATGCAGATCCTGCGCGTCCGAGGGAACTCCTCCCCTTTTAAATTTCTAGAGACCTAGGATGACCTAGGCGTCGGCAGATTTTCTGTGATGTGGGTCGAGATTCACATTATTTGGGTATGTGTCATACCAGCGTCACCCCCAACATGCTGCGTGATTTGCCAATACTACAAAAGCGCAAACCCATTTGTTCGAAGAAAACTCCACCCCAAAAAGCCTTCAGCGGGTGGCTTCCTCTTTTTGTTTGCGGGGGCGGGAACTTTAAAAGCAACCAAAACGTGGCCGAATCGTGTGTCCCATAGACATCCACTGAAAGGGACGCTCAACGAAAACAAAAAACGAGCAGAACACCAACCCAAGGCCCCAAAGAGAACCAACCCCGGCCCCCCAAGGGGCGACCTTGGGGAGGAGCTACGGAAGCTGCATCGCTCCAAGAGTGCAGCCCTAGAAGAGCTCCGAGGCCGGCCGGTCGGCCGGGCTTGAAGACGGAAGGGCCTCACTTTTGTGTTGCTTGGTGCCTTTGCATTTTTCTGTGTTTGCCGTTGTGTCTTTTGTCGATGTTTTCTGTCGGGATGTTTGTTTGTTGCGATGCTTTCGGCGCCTGGTTTGTCTTTAAGCAAAATCGATGTATGGGTTGGCCTTGTTCGTCTGTGTCGTTGCTTTTGTTTTGTCGACACAACACGGTTTCATGGGTTGACCTTGCTTTTTGCGTTGCAACACCACCAGGAACCTTTTCTCCCAGACTTCCGGGTGATAGTCCACCGGAGGTTTGGATCCTAGTGATTCGCTCTTCAACAACAAGCACAGGGCTCCCGAAATATCTCTGGTTGGTGGCTTCAAACATCACCTTTGGGCCATGGGTCGATTCAAAAGGGATGTATTCGATTCCCTGAAACAACAATTGAGGAGCCACGGGTCCGCCTCAAACATCCAGAACATTTTGCGTGGATGGGGTTCCCACTCAAAACCGACGACATGAACTGTTGGGTAGGCTTGCCTTCACCAGCAACCAACAAAACATGTCAATTTTGGGTGGGTTTGCCTAGAAAAAACAACACGACAGTTGTGTGTTCGGTTGTTTAGAGACACCCAAGAAAGAGGTTTTGCGTGGTGTTTCTTTTTCTATCGGCAAGCAACAGCAGAGGTGGCCAAGACTTCCTCTACTGGGCAAGTCGTACCGTTCGTACCAGCTGCTTTGGACGATAGCTGGTTCGGATGTCATGGGTGTAACCCAACAAACGAAACCCTGAAGCCCTTCCACAGGGTCCTTTGGAAAGCTCAGTTTTTGCTCTCCTTCTTTGGTTGCATGGGCCATGCATGGGCCAACATCCCTCCGCGGAAGATGGTTCATGCGCGCTTCTCGCGATATTTTTGACTTCTGGATCAATGAGGACCCTTGGCCACGGAAAGGCGCAAGTCAACCACCCCTCAGATGCTGGGACTTGTTTTTCACTTT